TCGCTTGCCTGCGATATTTAGTGGATTGGAATAGATTTTCTGAAAAATAATTAAACGTAAAAATGGATAATCGAGACTTTGTTTTTTATCGTACATGATGACACCCAGTAACTCCAAAATCTGGACTTTGGAAACACAAAATACATGTAACAATTTAGTTGAATTAAGAAGCCTTACTGCTTACCCAAATCTGAGTTTCACGCTCACTTGCCTGAAGAGAGATAACTTGTGCATGTGATGTATGCTTTCGTTGCAAGTCGTTGTAATGTATTGCAATTACTGATTGATTAATAGTTTTAGTGGGAACTGACCGTTTTTTTGCTGCATCACAGCCCGACAGCCCTTTGAAAAAATTGGGCCCACAGTTTACTGGTACAAGTACGAGCAAAGCGATACGGAAAGAAAAGTATGATCACACAGTTGATTACCTAAAGGAAAGTAGTAGCGAGAATTCAGAAACACTTACATTGCACTTTGATCAAATATTTAAAAATCTGTCAACTGTTTCTTACAAATTTATCTCAACTATACAAAAATAACACTGAAGTTTTTCGGGAATTACAGCAAATATTTTTGGACCTACAATGCTGCCTCTTACATCCTACTTTGATCCTTAAAAACATTGAGGAGTTTCCAGTAATCAGCGCAAAGTTGGCAATCTGCACACCAGCTTGATACATGCAGATAACAATTTGCGCGAGGGGGGGGGGGAATGCGCCCAACATACACGTATATATTCATATTACATTATTATATGCGTTGCGACCCATTTGTGTCAATTTCTTGTTCCCAAATATTAGTGATTTAGCTCCTTTAATTAAGTACAGTAGGACTGCCTATGGACTAGTTCCTAAAGATCTCTGCCATATGAAAATATTCTTTCATAATTATTCTCATGTCGGGAAATTTTCTGTGTGTAAATTACACAGCATCTGTCAATATTTGCATTAATTTTGAAGATATTGTGTGAAAAACGCAGATTTTTGCGTGACTGCGACATCTGGTTGGATGTGGCAATAATGTAATAAGTAATAATTAATCGTTATTTGAAAATAAAATTGACAGTTTTGCTTTTTGAATCAAATCTAATTCGCCAGGTAAAACTATATAGTACCATCTCTTACATGTATCCTTGGAACACGGAGGGCTGAGAGATACGGTTTTTAATCTATTCAGACACTAGCTACAAAAGTACAAGACCGGGTTACTACATGTAATAACTTCTTCCATCTTTGACAACTGTTTTCTTAGGACCTTCTTTTGAGTGTGACACATCATTTCGGTCCCGTGTCATTTCGAACTCGACACAAATGTCATTTCGGACTCAGTTTGGCAATTTTTCGGACTCGGTCTGGCAACTTTTCACACTGAAATAAAAGTGAAACCTTACTGCATACAGTATCTGTGATTTTAAAAAATCAAATGACTAAACTGGATTCTATGTAGGTAATATCATGGCCACTTGTGTAGGTACCGGTACATAAAAGATGACACTTTGAAAATATACAACACATTACCACGAAGAGAAATCGTTAGGTGACTTTTTTTAATTGATCATACAACATTATTTGTGGTATTTAAATGCAAATTATGGTGATAAATATGTATGTGACGAAAATTATTTGTTTGGGGCTATTTCTACTTGCTAAAATCATCAATAAATTGTAGCGGAGACCACATCTAATTTGTATCTAATTTTTCTTTACAGAAATCGAGGAGCAAGTTAGAAATATACAAGCAAAGAAAGTATCTTTGAAAGATGATGCTGCTGATAAAGTAGGTTTAGGAGCTCTAGGAAGTTATGATTTAGATATTTACGGTGGAACAGATAACAGATTTACTGGTTATGTTACGTCCATTGCACCTAACGATGAAGTTGATGTAAGTGTTTGATAATTATTTTCAATATTCCTATAAACCCTGCCATGAAATACATGAAGTTGCTTGACATGCAGTTGATGGTCCATTGTTTAAGAAATATGTATTCATGCGCTAAGACTAAGAGTGGCATATATAACATTGCTCGTCTCGGATGCAAGTCAATAATATTTATAGCCGGTGTAAATATATGTTTATGTGTATATGTGGATTTATTATGGTTTCCCCTTGTCAGGGGGGGTTGGATTGCCAAATGGTTAGCACTAGTGCTGATATCAAGTAAAATTTTACGCATCGATGCATCGGACACAAACATCGATTCTCGTATCGATGCATCGGACACAAACATCGATTCTCGTATCGATGCATCAGGAATTTGCCGCCATTTTGTTAATCAAAAATTACAGAAATAACATTAGTATTTCTGATAGAAACATAAATTTCCCTAACATTATCATTAGGCCTATTATAGAAATGTCGATTTATTTGAATAAATTTATTTCCACAATATTCTTCTGTTATTTATTATGACATTAATATTGTCCGATTCACTTCAATTGACACTCGTTTGTTGTGGAGGGGTGAGGTGATTACAAGAGACAGCGTTTGCATTATTTATACGGATCGTATCAAAGCCTGTCTATAGGGGTTTATGAATTCTCTATTGCTCATGGCAGAAAATAAGACTGAATCGTTTTAAAACTAGCGTTAAGAACCGGCCGCGAAATATTATCCATCTGACAGTTCGTTTGGTCATTTAAATGAACCGTGAAATTGACCTTGGTGTTAAAGGACACGATAGCCAGAGGACGTAACCAGCAAACGCAGTCTTTGTAGCCACTGGAAAATGGAGACAAACATAACGGAAGCGTAGGGTAAACAGGTCAAGCCTAATAATAGTTTGTGCGGGATTCATTGAATTGTTCCGTTACATATATATTGTTTTATTTTCAATTATAAAAACACATTGAAAAGGTGTTTTTTTTATTCTAGTGGACGAACTTGTGAACTCCTCGGAGTCCTCACACTCCTCGGACACATAAAGCTAATTATTAGTATTTTTTGCTGATGCATCGATAATACAAAAAAGGACCGAGAATTGAATCGGCACTAGTTAGCACGTGCGTGCTGTATCATAAATCCTGTCATTGGCGTGGTTTCGAATCCCCGGTTGTGCGTGACAAGGAGTACGGTCGCCTGTTCAACCTCGTGGGTTTTCTCCGGTCCTCCGGTTTCCTCCCACTGCTAAAGACCCCTACGCGCAAGCGAATTATTGAAATAAAATTAAAACCATATGTTAGTCACGAAATGACCTAGTTTGTGTTGAGTGGGCGTTAAACCCCATTTCTCTCTCTCTCCCCTTGTCAGTGATGCAGGACGGAGGGCCTGACAAGGACAGCTGTCTAGTCGTTCGGATAGGACGAACAACCGAAGTCCCGACCCTTGGCAGTTGGAATTCGATATAAGAGTAGGCCGTAGCGCCGCTGTCCAGGCAAAATGTCCTCATAGCACACTATATGGCATATGCCCGTCTTCATTAGCCCAGTTTAGGAGCAGAACAGTAGGACGTTAAACCCCATTTCATTTCATTGGATTTATTACTGATTTAAAAAATGTTTGTAATTATGGATTACGGTATCAAGGTGAATGTTTTAAGCTAGAACACAGAAATATTGTAAACAAATCCTTTATGGCACACCGGTAAAGATGAACATTTTGAATTACTTTGAGAACTGACTTCGCTTGTGGATGTTGTAGAAACTAGTGATTTCTAGCACAACATGGGCAATTCCTTAAAGAGTAAAAATCACAATGAAAAGCTTGTAGATAATTAGATTGTATTGTAATAAAATATCGTCACGATTTTCTTTCATTCATTTGATTTGCCGAGAGATCTGTGCAAAACCATGCAAGTTGTTATAATTAAAACAAATTAAGAGAATGCAAGAACAAGTAATAGATTCAGACGTTGTCAAATCGTTTTCTATTAGATTGTTATCATATAACATATTCTATAAGAAACAATTTACTTCTATCAGTCATAGAAAAGGCCAGATTTGAAATTCAAAAATCTAACAGTTTTCTTCATTAAACAAAATAGATGAAAAGTTTTATTCAAGAACTAATTCATACCACTTCAGAAGTAATATTTATCTTAGTTTTGTTTAAAATATCAAACATTTAGTAAGAAAACCTATTGAATTACACCATTTAACCCTATTATGACGTCATTTAAGGCTTTCTCAGGCTAACACGTGGTCAAATGCGAGGTACATGGTTTGCCACACATCAGTTCTAACGAATCGAAACACTATGCTTTTTTATCAGGTGACTATTACGCCAAATTTCATTGCCGTAGACATACAGGTTTTTTTTAGACAGTATGTATCACAGTGGGATATGCAAAAACACGAAAATCACAAAAAGTCGAATTACACGGTTTTGACTCTCAATCGGCAATATGCTAATTAAATATTATTATATTGTATTTGGTTGTTGTTTTCAGGAAGATGAAGATGTGTCAGCATCATTTCCAAAAAGATCTTCGTACACAGCACCACTTAATTTTCTCCATGAAACGGCTAATGATAAGGTGAGACAATGAATTAAAGTGTTATGAAGTACTAGTAATGTACTTCTTGCCTTTATTATTTTCTATATAATGAATTATGTGTTAAAGAGACATAATGATTCAATTTTTTGGTTGATTTTTATTTGATCTTTTTAATACTCCATTTCTGATTAATTTTAATTTCAAAATGCACTAAATGGATTCTGTGTTGCCAAGAACTATAAATTTGTATTCCATGATGTCAAAGCATTGATGTAAGTAATTGAAAACATACTTAATTTACATAGTTACATATATTAAAGCAAAGAATCTGTTATTTTCAGGACTATGACCCACTGGCAGAACACAGAGTACCTAAAATAACAGATCGTGAAGATGCCTACCAGGTTCGCAGACGTAATAGGATCATCTCTCCAGAACGATATGATCCCTTTGCTGATGGTGTGTATATCCAGTATTTTTTTCTTCTTTTTTTGCTGTTTATTAGTTTTTTGTGGGTAGGTTTTGAAATGATTTTGCAAGGCAAGAATTTTGAAGCGAATGTAAAATGAAATGATGTACTTGGTAAATCAGAAGTAGATTTTTTGTGTTAGACATATTTGAAGAACTTTAGATCGATTAATGACTGGGTCATTTGTGGGCATGGTGGGTATTACTTACACGATTTTATCCAAAGCATATCTATATTTACTCAAGTGCAGTAAATACGGCCATCATAAGATTACACCCCTGGCATATAATGAATTTTCTTTGATAAACCGATACAAATATGATGGGAGCAATGCATTTGATATTTCAAGGGGTATAACCTTTTGACGGTTGTTGTTCTTCTCACTGTGATGTCATTTGCTTAAAATACCTTTAGAAAGAAAAATACTAATCACAAAAATCTTTCCTTTCTAGCGTCAACTGTAAACGTAACAAGGAGACGGCCAATCTACACGACCAAGTTATTGAATTTAATAATTTGATGAAAACTTTCATTAACTAAAATCCATCAGACTAGGGAATTTGGTTTTCTCTTTCATTTATTTTGAAACAAGATCAGGATAATAAGAAATATAGAATATTTTTTTGAGTAAAATTTTATTCCGAGTAAAATTTGTAACTTTTGTAGTAAATGCTTATGATTTAAGGACTGTATATGAATGTGTTATTACCAAGGTATTGTTTAGTTTATTTTGATAAATGATGACAAATGGTGAGAAATTATAAAACTTTAAGACTAATTTTAGGACCAGATATCAAAATGCATCAAATGTGATGCCGAATGGAGTAACCAGGCTGTCACAGTACGTATAATAAAAAGGAGACACCACAAATCACTTCAGAAATTAAATGTTTCTCAGAGAAATCTCTGTAAATTAAAACATTCCTAGGAGGAAGCAAGATCCATTTGCTAGAATCCTGTAACTTATCAAAATCAGCTTGAAATTTGATATAAATTTTAGATAGTGATTTTTGGTACCTCTCAATTCCATTCCATTTGAACAACATGATTATTCAAGTGTCAGATATTCAGATACTTCAGACAGACTCTTTAGATCCAAATTTCCAAATTTTACAATTTTTGTTGTGTTGTTCAATTGGGTGGTCTTTTTAAGAAATGTATTTAGTAGTAATATGTTGTTGATTGTTGTATTAATTTATTCTCTTGTCACGGCGGGTGTCGTGACATGCTCTGCTTTCTATTTAAGGTGGGAAAACGCCAGATCCCAAGCAAAATGCCAGAACTTACTCTGACGTCATGACAGAATTACAGCTTGGTAAAGAGCAGGTATGATGAGACATTTTTAATATGGGTTACATGGGGTTTTGTTTGTGTGGTTATGGAACTGTATTCAGAAAGTTTGTGATATAAATTTGATGGAGACATATGTTGATATGTTGGTTTCCAAGAACGGCACTGAAGTCTTTAAGAAAGGTTACTATGAGACATGAAGAAATGTATTATCCATCAATGGCCGGAAGGGAAAAGCATTCTTTCATCATTATAAATGGAATAGTACTAAATTTCAAAGTGTAAACCAAAGTGTGTGAAGATATAGTCCTGTTACTCTGCCTGAAAGTTTCAATTCATTGTATTGAATATGGTCGTTAGATTTATTTCATATGATCGTGTAACTCAGTTACAGAATTTCATATTTTGTGTATTCAGTAATTTGATTTATTTTATAGGCTGGTCTTCGTAAGATGATGACAGACAAAGCTAAGTCAGGTGATTTACAGCAGGTAGCTAATGGAGACTCACAGAAGAAAGCTCCATCCAAGAGACGAAGATGGGATCAATCGGCAGATGATACACCAGCCAAGAAAAAGTCAACCTGGGATGTTGCTGAAGCAGTGGGTACTCCTTCAAACAGTCGCTGGGATGAAACACCCGGTAGAGCTAAAGGTTCAGAGACTCCCGGAGCTACACCTGGAGCCAGCACAAGAATGTGGGATACAACACCTGGTCATGCTACACCAGGTGCTGCTACACCTGGTCGTGATACACCTGGTAATCAGCCTACACCTAGTGCTCGTAGAAACAGATGGGATGAAACACCTAAAACAGAGAGAGGTATGGATATATTCTGAAAATAAAACATTCAGTTAAATAAAATCAAAATTATGAATGTCTTCAAGATAAAGGATTAAAAAGAAATCATGGGTGAACATAGAAGTTATTACTCATACTCACTACTCACCTATGTAAGAAAACTAGAAGAGCAACTGTCCACTCCCTTTAAACAGATTAAAGTCGAAGGCTACTATTCAAATTGTGAAACTCCTCTTCAAATGAATTGTTTGCTCATGGATGGGGATTATCAATTTAGTCATCATGGAGATACTTGATGATCTGGGTTACCAAAAATGTATGTCTGTTAAAGCAGTATTAGTAAAACTGATGAAGGCATGATTGTCAGGTCTCGGCCAAATAAATATTAGCGATTCAATATTACTCTTTAATTTTAATCATATATTCTCTTTCTATAACAGGTACTCCAGGCCATGGAAGTGGTTGGGCTGAAACCCCTAAAACAGACAGAGGTGGTGACCTTATAGAAGACACACCCACCCCTGGGGCCAGTAAACGTAGATCCCGATGGGATGAAACACCCGGAGCAAATACTCCCGGTGGTATGACTCCCACTATGACACCTGGTGGTATGACACCAACTATGACACCTGGAGGAATGACACCATCCGGAACGCCAAGTGGAATGACCCCAGGTGGCATGACCCCCAGTTCTATGACGCCCAGCGGTACAACTCCAACAGGTCAGAAAGCTATGGCTATGGCCACACCTACTCCAGGTCATCTAATGTCCATGACTCCAGAACAGTTACAAGCATATTCCTGGCAGAGAGAAATTGACGAAAGAAATCGTCCTTTACCTGACGAAGAACTTGATGCCATATTACCACCTGGTTATAAAGTAAGTACATATTTCTTTCCTAAGACCTGATCAAATTGGGTTTCATTTGCTTCCCTGTTTTCATAAAATATTTGGCAGTAACGGAATATTCTGTCTATATTTCCTGTGTGTAAAGTAACAGAATGTAAAAACTTACACTTTCAACACTGAATGCTCAAACTATATAAAACTCTCCTAGAGTGGTAAAGTAAAGCAAATCTAACTTATAGAAATCATAACCTGTTTCAAGTAGTCAGGACAATGGATTAAAAAAACTTTTAATTTACTTATATAGCAGTAATAGATATTTTAAGAAAGCACGCTTTCAATAACATTTATAATATTTTGTACAAACTTTATTAAATTAGCATTGTTTATAATTTTCTAAAGATCTATCTTTATATTATTTCAGACTATCCAACCACCAGCCGGGTATGTACCTATTCGTACACCAGCTAGAAAGTTAATTGCCACCCCAACACCTATGGCTGGTACACCTGTTGGTTTCAGAATGCAGACACCTGATAGTAAAACACAGGTAGTTGATATGCAGCCTAAAGGTAATTTACCTATGATGAAACCAGATGATATGCAGTATTTTGATAAATTATTGGTAAGTTTACTATTACTATTTTACTGGACACATATTTTATCATGTTTATTTCTTGAAATTGCTTTTGTGTGCTGATTTGCAGATTACTGTAATGTCTTTGTGCTTTGGTTGGCCTAGTGATGTAATGTGTGTTCTGAAGTGTCCTGTTTTTCGTTCTCCGTCTTTTGTAAAACCAGGAGTAGAGTTGCCACTGCTAAAGACCCCTGTGCACAAGTGAATTACTGAAACAAATATGTACCATATGTTAGTCCCAAAATGACCAGGTTTGTGATGAGTTGACTTGAAAGCCTATTTCTCTACTTCTTGTCTTTGTACATTGTATGATTGTTGATGGGCAGAAGATAATTCCCTATTGACATCCAGAATAATTTGATACTCTATTTCTGAGTTCAGTGTTTTAATTGTTGCTGTTTTGCAGGTGGATGTGGATGAAGAAACTTTAAGTCCAGAAGAACAAAAAGAGAGAAAAATCATGAAACTATTATTGAAGATAAAGAATGGTACTCCACCTATGAGAAAAGTAAGTACACATGTCTTTATTCAATATTCTCTCATTTGAACAACAACCAGCTCAAAAGTATAAGCACTACCAAAGTACACATGAAAGAAGCCATGATCATTGGAAGACGGACAGTCAGAAATGCTACCAGATCGTCGGCATCCTATGCACTTGCACATAACTAAATTGATTATTCTTCTGAGATATGTCTTAATAGGAAAAGGCACAGCTAGTGTAATAGTTTGATGTGTGAACAAAATTTTGTAAAGATATTTTGACATAAGTAGAACACCAGAAAACTAAAGGGATGCTTCTAGCTCAAGAAATGTAATTAAGTCTGTTACTGTAATAAGTGTATGATTTGTTTCTTTTATTGAATGTTATGTTTTATAAATTATGTATTTTCAAGGCTGCATTAAGGCAAGTTACTGAGAAAGCAAGAGAATTTGGAGCAGGACCACTGTTTAATCAGATTTTACCTTTACTCATGTCACCATCACTTGAAGATCAAGAACGTCATTTATTAGTTAAAGTTATTGATCGTATCTTGTACAAACTGGATGATCTTGTCAGACCCTATGTACATAAGATACTTGTTGTCATTGAACCACTGTTGATTGATGAAGATTACTTCGCACGTGTTGAAGGAAGAGAAATTATCTCCAATTTAGCTAAGGTAGGAAACTTACTGAATAAATATTATTTTGTTTACATTAATTCAGTGGCAGTTTTTATTAACAAATTTGCTGTTGTTTTTCTGTCTGTTTCTATACAATATTTTCTGTTCCTTCTTCATCTGATTACTGCAATGTGAAAATCATAAATTTTGTTGACTGTTATATTGTATATGAAAAGTGTCTATTGGCAGGTGTGTATTTAACTGGCAAAAGTATACATTAATGGTTTTGACTGGTTTGCCTTAAATACTGTGCACTGTCCACTGGTGTGTTTGTTTGCGATATCACCTCAGTGGAAGCAGACATAAAATACAACTAACTCGCACAATGGTGTGTCAGACACGATTAGAGCAAACTGTATTGCAAATACCCTCTTTCTGTAGGTCTAGACATCAGATTACGGAAATTTCCCCAAAAGTTATACATTAATTTATTGAAAGATTCTATGTGTTTAACTGTACTTCACATACTATTTCTGTTACAGGCTGCAGGTTTAGCTACTATGATTTCTACCATGAGACCTGATATTGACAATATGGATGAATACGTACGTAACACAACAGCCAGAGCTTTTGCTGTTGTTGCATCTGCTCTTGGAATCCCAGCACTTCTCCCGTTTTTAAAAGCTGTATGTAAAAGTAAGAAATCCTGGCAGGCTAGACATACTGGTATAAAGATTGTACAACAAATTGCTATCTTAATGGGTTGTGCTATTTTACCTCATCTTAAAAACTTGGTGGAAATTATTGAACATGGTAAGTTAATTAATTTAAAAAAATAAAAACATTGTAGTGGAATGATAGTATGACTTGAAGTTACTCATAATTTTGGTATTTTTATTTAATAGGATTGGTTGATGAACAACAGAAAGTTCGAACTATAACAGCTTTAGCTCTGGCTGCGTTAGCAGAAGCTGCTACACCGTATGGTATTGAATCTTTTGATAGTGTATTGAAACCATTGTGGAAGGGTATCAGACAACACAGAGGAAAAGTGAGTCATTTTATTTCATCACATAAATTCTTATGAATTCAATCCATTCCAAAATGGAAAAGTGAATTAGAGTCTTTGAAAGGGAAAGTGCAGTTGATAACTAATGTATTTAACCTTTCAAAGTAATTTTCTTATCAACCATTTCATTTAATGTTTTTTCTTTACAGGGTTTGGCAGCTTTTCTCAAAGCTATTGGTTATTTGATTCCATTGATGGATGCTGAGTATGCTAACTACTATACAAGGGAAGTCATGTTGATCCTTATTCGAGAATTTCAATCTCCTGATGAAGAAATGAAAAAGATTGTATTAAAGGTGAGTAAAGGAACATAAAAACTATTGAATTGTTGATATAAAATGTTGTTAGTCAGAAAGTTATCCAATAGATCTGGAGTTCATTAAAATAATAGAATAAAAATCATACAAGTTTGCCTATACTGTGTACCGGTAATTTTTTTGTCCCCCGCCTTTCGAAGAAAGCAGGGGACTATTAAAATGGGTTCGTCTGTCTGTCTGTCTGTCTGTCTGTCTGTCTGTCTGTCTGTCTGTCTGTCTGTCTGTCTGTCTGTCTGTCTGTCTGTCTGTCTGTCCGTCCGTCCGTCCGTCCGTCCGTCCGTCCGTCCGTCCGTCCGTCCGTCCGTCACACTTTTTGGGACACAATAACTCTCTTCCTAATTGAGCTAGAATGTTCAAACTTGGTGTATGTGTTTATTAGGTCAATGCCTTGATGGAGTTCGAAGATGAGCATTTTCCGCTTAGGGTAAGCAGAGATAAGCAATTTGATTGGTTGATGCTTTGGGACACGATAACTCTCTTCCTAATTGGGCTAGAATGTTCAAACTTGGTGTATGTGTTGATTAGGCTAATGCCTTCATGGAGTTCGAAGATGAGCATTTTCCGCTTAGGGTAAGCAGAGATAAGCAATTTGATTGGTTGATGCTTTGGGACACAATAACTTTAGTTCTAATTAAGTGAGATTGATGAAACTTGGTGTATAGTTTCATTACAGTAATACCTTGACTAAGTTTGATAATGAGCATTTTCTGCTCAGGGTAAGCAGAGCGATTTCCGCAATTTGATTGGTCGAGACTTTGGAAAACAATAACTCTCCTACTTTGATTGTCCCCCGCCTTTCGAAGAAAGCAGGGAACTATTAAAATGGGTTCGTCCGTCTGTCTGTCCGTTCCGCTTATTTGTGATAAATTTATATGTGTCCTCTAATTATTTTCCTATTTCGGCGGGGGACATCAGCCTCACTGTTGGCTTGTTTTCTTTGATATGCTGGATTTTTCCAGTCTTTAGGATAGCGTACATATCTTTGACTTTCTAAATGTTAACTTTTGGTGTTTGCTTAAGAGACATCCATCCCTAATGGATTGTTATTTATTTAATAATTGAAATTTGTTTGGTTGTTATAGGTAGTAAAACAGTGCTGTGCTACTGATGGTGTGGAACCACAATATATTAAAGATGAAATCCTTCCGCCATTCTTCAAACATTTCTGGAATCAAAGAATGGCATTAGATCGCAGAAATTACAGACAGGTAAAACTATTTGAACATGTCTACATGTTTTTTGTAAAAGGTTTCTATGGTTAAATCCGAACAGATAATTTAAAATCCCTTCTTATTGAGATCAATTTAAATTAGTTGTACTGTGGCAGAAAATTGGTACTTTTATACTTTCGTCGGTTAGCTATATTTTTGTAATATTTTAGGCTTACGGGGAGTTACAGCAGAACAATTGCTGGTAGGGCAACTGTCTGCTAGAACATTTGAAGAGTCCAGGAGAAGAACGATCTAAGTCACATTTTCGTCTTTTCGCATAAAAGGCTAAGCAGACTGTTGGACGAGAATGCTTGATGCGAACAGAACGAATGGGTTTAATTACAACTGACTTCCACTTTTCAGCCAAATTAAGGTCAAATAAAGGGTACGATGGTCGTATTTGTCTGGGATGCCATTTCAGAAGGGCCTTGGTTCGATGTGACTTCGATCGTTTTTACCTGAAATTGATTGTTCCACAGAAAGCTTTTTACAATTTGCTACTAGATGGCGCCATTAACTGGGGTTTGTTGAAAAGGTGACTTAGATCGTTCTTCCTTGGGGCTCTTCAATTGGCGACCATATTATTTATTTTTTCGTGATAGAGCTTATTCATTATTTAATAAACTACGCTAAAAAAAAAGAAATAAAATGGCCTGCAGTTGTCCCAGTAACAGTTGTCCTAGACCTAAATTACATGTTATTATTTATATAACTAAATATGTAACTAAATATCATGTGTTTTTTGTAGTTGGTAGATACAACTGTAGAAATAGCAAATAAAGTTGGTGCTGCAGAAATAACAGGAAGAGTTGTTGATGATTTAAAAGATGAAGCTGAACAATACCGTAAGATGGTAATGGAGACAATAGAAAAGATAATGGGTAATTTAGGAGCTACAGATATTGATTCAAGATTAGAAGAACAGTTGATTGATGGTATATTGTATGCCTTTCAAGAACAGACTACGGAGGTAAATCCTGCATTTTATCTATATCACTATGAGATATTTCAGACAATTCTTTATCAATTTTAATTGACACAATGGTTTGTTGAAGCATCAACGTATTGTCTGAATTTAAATACTAAATAAAGTCTGTCATTGAGTCAACTGGCTTGGTTTCGATTCCCCGGTTGTACATGACAAGTAGTAGGGTCGCCTGTCGAACCTCGTGGGTTTTCTCCGGGTCCTCCAGTTTCCTCCCACTGCTAAAGACCCCTACGTGCAAGCGAATTATTGAAATAAAATTAAACCATATGTTAGTCCCGAAATGACCTAGTTTGTGTCAAGTGGACGTTAAACCCAATTCCTCCCTCCCTCCCTATTATAAATATATATTGTGTGCTTTTTTAGTAATCTTGCATTTGTTTGGACAGTATCTACTTTCTCAGGGCCCTATCCTCTCTATAATGTATTCATATTGGTTATTTACACTTGATCAGACAATCTGTCATCTTGAATTCCAAGATGCCCATTAAAAGATTTTACCACTGACAGAGGATTCACAATAATGCGAAATACTCATATGTTTTTAAATTGAAACATTTTTGGACTGATATTATAGACTTGACATTATTGTGGTTTGCCATGGATTCAAATTCTCTCTAATGACATTCAGTTGCTTTAAAGAACTATATATTTTGTATTATATACTACGGCCCCCAACTAAATGTACTCTTACTTCAGAATGTGAAATGTTATTTCTTTTTATATGAATCCATTTCCATTATGAGTTTCCATATCTTTATAAAAAATTCTTGTAAAATATTTAATCAAGGTTTTTGAAGCTATTAAAAGAAAAATTGTTTAGGTAAAATATATTTTGGTTATTTGTAGGATGTGGTAATGTTAAATGGTTTTGGCACTGTAGTTAATGCTCTAGGTAAAAGAGTGAAGCCATATTTACCACAGATCTGTGGTACTATTCTCTGGCGTCTCAATAATAAATCAGCTAAAGTACGACAACAAGCAGCAGATCTGATTTCTAGAATTGCTATTGTCATGAAAACTTGTCAAGAGGTAAGATATTTTCTATAATTGTATGTATGTATTTTCAAAAGGGTACAATAAGTTGTATTATTACATGTAACATTAACTTGATGTTCCTGAGGGTCATTCCATCTTTAGTCTTTATGTTATAATTTCTAAGTAATATTGAAAGCTACAAACAATGTGAGGTTCCATTTAAAATTAAGTCCACATAAATGATTGATCATACCTTTCCTTACCATGTACTATATAGTCGGGTTGGACTTTCAAATGCAGGAAATAGCAAAATCACCTTTGTGAACCCACCAAAATTCTAGTCATAAATTCAATATAACATTATTTTTGTTTCTACTATTTCAGGAAAAGTTAATGGGTCATCTTGGTGTTGTGTTATATGAATATCTAGGAGAGGAATATCCTGAAGTATTAGGAAGTATATTAGGAGCATTAAAAGCTATTGTAAATGTTATTGGTATGACTAAAATGACTCCACCTATAAAAGATTTGTTACCACGTCTTACACCCATCTTAAAGAACAGGTATCAGATCCTTCTTTGCTATTATCCCATTTCAAAAGTTAAGAAATTTGGATTACTATAAACCTTGTTGTTTCTTGATCTTAAATCTGAAATGTTCCAAATTGGAGGAAGTGTATTCAAATGATTGTTAACTGTTGGGGACATGGCTTTAATCATTAACCATTTTAGAATAATTAGAAAGGTTAAGTAGTATAAATTTTGTTAATGATGTTAATAAACTTATATATTATAGACATGAGAAAGTGCAGGAGAATTGTATAGATTTAGTAGGAAGAATAGCCGATAGAGGTGCAGAGTTTGTAGCAGCTAGAGAGTGGATGAGAATCTGTTTTGAACTACTTGAATTACTTAAAGCTCACAAAAAAGCAATTCGTAGAGCTACAGTCAACACATTTGGTTATATTGCCAAGGCTATTGGGTAAGATATGTTATTGTAATTTTCGTAGTACAAGAAAGTTGTTTTTGTCCAAAAAATCATCAAAGAAAGTGTTGATTTTGTAATTTGGTAAAAAGGATTTATTGACTATAATAATGGATTCCATATGCTGTTACTCTAATGAACTCAAATATTATTTTAATTGAATGTTACTTGCTATGTTCCCATTACACTGAGTGTCTCACCTCTTTGACATTTATTGCAAGTGTATGAACACTCATTCTATCATATCTTTAGTATAATAATAGATTTTATTGTTCCCCTTGTATGCTTATGATTATTATTGTATTTTTCAGACCCCATGATGTCCTGGCTACTCTACTTAACAATCTTAAAGTACAAGAAAGACAGAACAGAGTGTGTACAACTGTTGCCATAGCAATAGTTGCAGAGACATGTTCACCATTCACAGTTTTACCAGCTTTGATGAATGAATATAGAGTACCAGAACTGAATGTACAAAATGGTGTACTGAAATCATTATCATTTATGTTTGAATATATTGGTGAAATGGGAAAAGATTATATTTATGCAGTGACTCCATTGTTAGAAGATGCTTTAATGGACAGGTAAACAGATTTGCTAATTATCAACCATTTAGTAGTGGTTTCCCCTATGTCAGTTGGTGCAGGAAGGTGAGTCTGGTAAGAACTGTCTAGTCATTAGGATGGTATGAAAAAAAATCCAATGACTTTAGGACACATTGGTGTGCGGCTGTGTGCATAAAAGAACCATGGCCAATTTCGAAATAAGATTAGGATGTAGCACCGTGGTCCAGGCCAAATTCTATCATAGCCTGCTGTCTTGGGTTCACATGTCATCTTTTACCCAGTTGGATCAGAAAAGTAGGATGTCAAACCCCATTTGTATGTTTTAGTATCATCATGTAATTCAGATAAAACATATTAAACATACATTATGCAAGAGCTAAATCTGCCTATTACAGGTCTTTCGATGACATAGGATACTCAAGATTTTAACAAGTTTAGAACAGTTCGCCATTTAAAAATTTAATTTAAAAATGGGAAAGCGAAACTAAGTCTTGAATATACCAGTGCACTGGTTACCACAATGCACACATCTTGTCAAAACTATAAACAACGATAACTTGGGTCAGAATAAAGTAATTAAAATGAAACTTTCAATATTTTCATAGTAAGACTGGTCAGCTCTTTATCTAAATCTCAACTAATGTATCTTTAATAAAATCCTACATATTGTGATCAATGAAAATTGTGGCAAGAATTCTATATCGAAGACTTAGTTCTTTAAATGAACAAAAATGGTGACTCGCTCATATTTGACATTCCTATGATTTAAACACAGGGGTAAGATTCTATACATTCTTGTAAATAAATAAAGTTTCTATCTTTTGATTCCAATGATTTCTTTATTTATGATTTATCTTATTTCAGAGATTTAGTGCACCGACAGACAGGTATGGCTGCTATACAACATATGGCTCTAGGTGTATATGGTTTTGGCTGTGAAGATGCTCTAACACATCTGTTAAATTATGTTTGGCCAAATGTATTTGAAACTTCACCTCACGTTGTTCAGGCATTTATGGGAGCTGTAGAAGGTATCAGAGTAGCGATTGGACCATCAAAAATATTACAATATGTCTTACAGGTAAGATTCCGCCATTAATAGTATTTTATCAACTAATAAGAAAATTTCTGGGACAGAATTTTTGCAAACCCTGAACAGTAAACTGACAATTATATTACTACAAGAATATTGGGCACTGATACAGTGCAAACTAAAAAAAGATCTAGTTAAAATATTGAAAGTGTACAGGTATATAAAGGATCCCTTTGCAGTTGTCAGAAGTGCAACTCTGGCAAAATTCTACTAGTTTTGTACAGGTATCAATAAAAATAAATAAATCTTCCTATATAGTCGGATTCGGTTTGTTACCTAATTCCCATCTGTCGGCTTTTCGGGTAGAAATCATGGAATATGCTTTATTTTGTAGGTTTTGATGTTTGATTATAAAAAAACAATGTTGACATTTTTTCTGAGTAGGTCTTCATAGTATGGGAGGCCATTATTTGAGGGTAGCCATTTTGCGATAATATTCCAACTTATTTTATTATTTTCACCTTATTTATAATATTATCGACATATCAACTATGATTTGGCAATGTATTAATATTGGCAGGGTTCATGACTATACTTCAGATTGTTTTCCATCATTTCAGTATGATATTTCCAAGATGGCGACCATTTTTGGCGGAAAATCGGACGATGTGCTGATTTCGATTAAGTAGTAGTGCTTGGTGTCAATATATATGTTTTCATGGCCACATATTCCATTCCTGACATTTACAACATTGTAAAATGATCACATGTTCATATACTTAGCATATTTCCAACATGGCGGTCATTTTTGGCGGGAAAATAGGATCATGTGCTGATATTGATTAAGTAGTCGTCGTTGGTGTCAATATATATGTTTTCAAGGGCACAGAAGCCATTTCGGTTAGTAACAACTGTGTAAAATGATTATTTTGCACATTTACAATATGACGGCCATTTTTTTGGCGGGAAGATGGAACGATGTGCGGATATTGAATAAGTAGTCGTCTATGGTACCAGGATATATTTTTGGGGGAGCAGATTCCATTTTTGCCATTTACAACTGTGTAAAATTACCACATGTTCACATATTTAGCATATTTCCAATATGGCTTTCATGTCGGGCGGGAAAATGGGACGATGTGCTGATTCCGTTTACGTAGTCGAGTTTTTGTGTCAATATTTGTTTTTCGGGGGCGCAGATTCGATTTCTGCCATTTACAACTGCGTGAAATGGTGGTATGTTCGCACATTCAGCATATTTTTGTTTGTGGCAGGACGTTTTCTAAACACATTATACTGTAAAGGTTTCTGAATCCAATTCTGCTATGTATAAGCTTGTAGCATGTTCCTGGAAGCCTGTGCCGAGTTTACCCATTAGGTATATTATCCAACAATGTTGTAGTTGAACTCCAGCGCAATATCATTCCACATGTTCGTTCTACAATCATCTTGGAAGTCAGTTGATAACATAATCTATGCTATGAGGGCTTCTTAGCAAGTATTTCATTTACAGCCACGTCCCCACCACTATCATCCACGTTGCTGCCAGGCTGGAACGAAGCTCCTGGCCATATGCTTGCTATGCTGTTACGACCTTTATGTATATATAGGGAAGATACTGAGCCTCGTACATCAGCTCCAGTCTAGCACCCAAAGAGGAAACCTCAAGAAAACTATGAAATGTTCTTGATTGCTTGACTATTGGTTGTTTTCTGCTTTGAAAGTGAATGAGGACGGGTGCGCATGGCACAGTCTCTATAAGCATGACGAGAGAACGCCTTACGCCTGGAAGGGCATGTCACTGGAGTGTGGTGAGAAAGTATCCCAGTCTGACTGGTAACTGCGAGATCGTGGTGGGAACACTTTTCGCGCAGCCAGATCTTGGCCATGAGCGTAGAAAGATCTTGTAGTAAGCGCTTGGTGTGGTCGTTGCAGGCCCATGATGGGCATGTGGCGTAAGCACCACGCTGCCGCTATGCTCTTTTTGCCTTCATGCCAGGAATAGGCTTTACTTTCCCAGGAAAATCGATGATAAATAAATGTTAATAAAGTGTTTAGAAAAATTTCCACCATCTTGGAAATATGCTAAATTGGTGAACATGCGACCATTTTACGTAGTTGTATATGACAGAAATCGAATCTGCCTCCCCGAAAACATATATATTGTCACCAAAGACAACTACTTAATCGAAATCAACCCATCGTCCGATTTTCCAGCCACAGGTGGCAGCAATATTGGAAATATACTAAATATGTAAACATGTGATCATTTTACAAGTTTGTAAATGTCAGAAATTGATTCTGCGTCCCCGTAAACATATATATTGACACCAAACACGACCACTTAATCAAAATCTGCACATCGTCTCATTTTCCCGCCAAAAATGCCCACCATCTTGGTAATATGCTAAGTATATGAACATGTGATCATTTTACAAGGTTGTTAATGTCAGGAATGTAATTTGTGACCCCGAAAACATATATATTGACACCAAACACTACTACTTAATCGAAATCAGCACATCGAAAGATTATCCCGCTAAAAATGTGCGCCATCTTGGAAATATCATCATGAAATGATGGAAAACAATCTGAGATATAGTCATGAATGCTGCCAATATTAATACATTGCCAAATCACAGTTGATATGTCTATAACATTATAAATAAGGTGAAAATAAAAAATAATTTGGAATATTATCGCAAAATGGCTACCCTCAAATAATGGCCTCCCATACTGTGAAGACCTACTCAAAAAAAATGTCAACATTGTTTTTTATAATCAAACATCAAAACCTACAAAATAAAGCTTATTCCACGATTTCTAAACGAAAAGCCGACGGATTTACATTAACGATCGGACTACTACATCAAAATGGATGGTGCACTCTCTATATTATATTTTTCAGGGATTATTTCATCCAGCAAGAAAAGTTCGTGATGTGTACTGGAAGGTTTATAATACAGTTTATATCGGCGCTCAGGATGGCATGATCCCTGCATATCCCAGAATACCTAATGATGCCAAGAACCAATACATCAGATATGAACTTGATTATGTTTTATAGTTTTAAAAAAACAGTTTCTCTTATTTGAGAAATATTGTAAATAGCAAAATCATCAAATCATTATTATTGTAAGCAGTGGTACACCTAATCTGGATGCACAGTCACAAAGGCTGTATTCTTTTTCTAGAATATACAGAAGTTCTATTGGCATCAAAATTTAGTATTTAAAATATCTTAATAATATAATTTGAATTTGTAGTAATTCACAAATTGTTTTTTTTTAATCTCTCCATTGTTGAATAAATAATTACCATCCTTATGTTAAATACCATGGAAGAAATATACAAGACGATGGCCCAAGCTACTTAGTCAATTGAGTGAAATGTCTTCTTATTATTACTTTGTCTGACAGTTATATAGAAAAGGCAGTACCATTGTTTCAGAAAGAGTGGGCTTTTTTGGATATGTTATCGTAGTTGGTTGTAAGATATTAAAACTTGGACTGTTTTGTTGATCATAGCAGATAATTGGATAATTTGTATAGTGGATTAATATGTTCTTCATTCCCTAAGAAATTCATTTTTCACCTCTTGAAAATGTGAACTTCAATTGCGATGTTCCTTGGAGCACAGCACATGGTTGTAACTAGTTTGTTTTTGGACCCTACATTAATGGGGAAAATTGGTTCATTTATCACAGTTGTACACCAATTTGCAGAAATTACACAAAATTGTAGAAAGTAATAATACTCTCATTTGAACTTGGCCTGTATAGTTTCCCAGTTTTACTTCTGAAAATGTCCTTACTTCAAGTGACAAGATGACCACACTTTGCAACACTGTATTTTCATGCTCCATTTATTGTTCCCTTACGCTAGTAACAGATGCTTGGTTCTAAACTTTGTTTCTCCGTTTAGAAATCTAAGGAATCGGGAATAGGATATTAAAAACATAAGTTTGCTTTTTAGTCAGAATTCGTCCTATTTTAATGTATATAGAATGAAAAAAACACCTGAATGCAATATTTAAATGTCTTCATCAAGATAAGCTTTGACTTGTATGTTAAAAAGTGCTATGTAACTTTGTTAATCATCATTGAAATAAACTGTCACTGTATATAAACATGCAATTTGTTTTTTTTTTTATGTAATTGCTCAACTCTTTGGGACCCTCATTCCCAAAGCAATGGTAACCAGCATAAACTGCTCTGTACCATTTAGAAAGTGGTTATGACCCATTATTTTAACTGGTCTTCTGAGTTTGCTTGCAAACTAATCAAAACAAGTGGTTGCCATGCAAGATATGCCCACATTTTGCAAGAGAACAAGCTAAAAACATGATTTTGGTACAATTGGTTGCCATAATCCAGCAAGTTATGGTTTGGTATGTGCAAATATTGAAAGGAACAGATACAAATTATGACCTGTAGGGAGGGGGGGGGGGTTGGATGGCTGAATGGTTCGCGTGCGTGTGCTGTATCATAAAGTCTGTCATTGAGTTGACTGGTGTGGTTTTGAATCCCTGGTTGTACGTGACAAGGAGTAGGGTCGCCTGTCCAACCTCGTGGGTTTTCTCCGGTTTCCTCCCACTGCTAAAGACCCCTATGCACAAGCGAATTATTGAAATAAAATTAAAAAACATATATGTTAGTCCCGAAATGACCTAGTTTGTGTCGAGTGGACCTTAAACCCCATTTCTCGCTCTCTCTCAATGACCTATAGAGTTCCTCAAACAAATGTGGACGAACAGGGGCGACAATATAAGTCTACATTAAAGTGGGGTATATAAAAATGTAGTTGATTTATTTATAGTGCATTTAATTCAGGCATTAGTTCCAGAGGAACTGAGGATACATAAACCAGGGGAGCCACAGTGCTAGCGCACTAAACTGAAGGGCCCATGTTCAATTCGGGAAAGGCAGAAAATGTTCATCCAGATTTTACAGCGAGCTTTGATGCAGGATGAAGGCTGGAGAACCTGGCAAGGGACAGCGTTTAGTTGTTCAGATTATTGTGCACATTAAAGAACCCTTGACAGTTGAGTTCCAAAGAAATGAAATGAAATGGGGTTTAACATCCTACTCCTATACCGGGCTAATGAAGACGGGCATACGTCATACAGTGTGCTATGAGGGAAATTTTGCCCGGGCAGTGGCACTATCGCCTACTCTTATATCGAATTCCAACTGCCAAGGGATCTTTTATGTGCATTCCAATGTATACACGGGACCTCGGTTTTTCGTATCATCCCAAGGACTGGACAGCTGACCTTGTCAGGCCCTCCGTTCTGCACCACTGAACTTTCTCGGCCAATGCAGGGATAAATCACCCGACCTCCAGGCTAACGAGCCAGCATCTTAACCACCTAGCCACCAATGAAATGAACCATTTGCTTAAAATAAATTGACTGTTTAGTGAGCCTCAATAATTTTAAGAATAACCATTTCATCAGATATGAATTTAGTGTGCACATAGTAAAACTTTTGAAAACTGAAGACTGGTCAAAATCTAGCATTGGTTGCAGGACAAACATTAAATGATTTCAGGTTAAAATCAAGTCTAGGAATGAGCCACAATAGATGTTCACAAAAGACCCTTTAAAATTATACTCCCAAATTCTCCCTTTTAAGGGGCTCCAAAACAACTTAGTATGGAATAAGTATATTTATTTGAACAAATCTAACTAGGTACAATGTAATCACCACCCAGGTGACATATCCACCAAATCTGGTTGAAATCTATTGATTAAGGGGGTCTAAATAGTAAAATTGATAGATGACCGAAGCACTATATAAGTTAGTGTCTATATAAGTTAGTGTCCGGTAAAACTTGTTAAAACAAACAAAAACAAGATTTTCTATAACTGATTTTATTTATTTACAAAAAATACAAATGCATCAGACAATCTATATTGCTTACAAATACTAGCACTGATAAAGCACTTATAATAATAAAAGACATATTCATAACATTTTTAAAAACATTGATAATAATTTATAACCGATTAACTTTCAGTTAATTACACATATCATGTTTAAAATAGCCACCATGACAGTGATTAAACAAACCTTTATTATCTAACTGTCATGACCGACATAGTTTCATTAAAATCCTTACACCAGTATATTTTTCATTCTTTTTAGGATTGTTTGTTTTTCACCGGAGCCTATTACCTTCTACTTCTATAAATAAGTCTTCTTTCTGAAATTTCTCACCTACATATACAATGAAAGTTCTGAACATAGAACTCTTACTGCCGGTCACATTTGACATCTCTTATTTCAAACTGAAGACGCGATATCCCAAATACCACAATAATATTTAAGCTTTCTTGTTTATAAGTTTCCAAAGCGGCTATACATGTATGTTTCTCCAGTAATGCTTTTAAAACAATCACCGGTGATATCCAATTTGATAAGCCAAACTAGATGACAGAATCAAAGCAAACTTCAAAAAGAAAACTAAATAAGTAGTTTTAATGGCCTGTGAATTATCTATTTTTTGAGGATTTTCTTTTTTTAATACTGGTAAAAAAAACAGAACATTCCTACATATAACAATTTATACAAACAATTTAAAATGTTCTGAGTAACAAATTAAAATGTCAGACATTATACACACAAGATCTTAAGCCACATGCTTAAACTATTCATACATAAATAAGATTCTTTTAATAGCAATTATATTTCATCCAAATTGCTTAATTTCTCTCCTATTTATTTTAAAATACGTAAAAAAATATGTAATACTTTTCAGCAGTTTTTGCATTATCTTTAAAACAAAAAGAGAATATTCTGTTAGAGCTTCTTGGTAATCAGTATGTTATAAATATTGTACATATTTTGTTCAAACAATGGATTCACAGCTTTTGCAAAAAACAAAACCCAAATGAACCAACATGCAACCTTTTGTCACTAAAGATTGAGATTAAAATATTGACCACTTTTCACAAATTCTTCAAGTAACAATTTATATTATTAGTCAAAAGATCCAAACCCCTCTCACAAACAGAATAATAAATGTCAGTATTACCTATCTTCAAATTTAACAAATACATATTATATTTAAAATTTTACATGCATGTAACTTTAAATATGGCTAACACAAATACTCAAGCTTTAATAGTATGAGCTCTCATCATGATCAGAGAAAGCCAATAAAACTGTTTAACAAGGTTCTTATAATTTTGATTAGCACAATTATTAATAATGGAAACGGCACAGGTTAATACAGCCAATCTTCAATTTTATATAAACACTCTTATATAAATGCAGGAACCTTTTTCAACAATGTATACATTCAACTGCAATACTAGTAAGTTAATTTTTCCATTAAAAGTGTGAAATACCATGTCGCAATTTGGATGTGTCATGGGTATAAAATCAACCCATATTTATTATTGAGGTCTAATCTCAATACGGATTGGTAAATATGCAGTCTGAAACCCTGCTCCCTGATATATAACATCTTACACCAAGTTTCTTTATTTGCTCTCATAACATATAGGACTAATTTAGATTTACGCTATTCTTCGATTTATATCAACATGACTTATGTTATTGTTGATGTAAAGGAGGCATGCCTCTAGGGTCGGGACCACCGGGTGTGTCGAGGTTTTGTTGTAATTGCAGCAGCCACCGTTTAGTAGATGTATCATCTTTGAGACAGTTAGCAAAGGTGCTATCCTTCAGCTGATCTGGAAGACATTGTTGTAATGCTTCTCGAGCCCTAAATGAACAGAATATACAGATACATAAGAAAATATTATCATCAGACATGACTCACTGAGAGGTGCGTTAAACTATTGTGCCACCCAACCGCCCCAGTCAGTTGGATGACAATGTTAGCCTCTTGAGAGACAACAGACCAGGATGACAACAATATATCACCAGTCATCTAATGCTAAATAAAATCATGATTTTAATGAATATTGTTTGTTTATGAATTCTAATATCTGGATTTCTCAGACACCATTAAACCCTCATTACTGATTGTACTTAATGTTTTTTCTTTTACTTTAGACAAAAATGTTGTAAGATCAAAAACCAGTATTTAATACTATTTAATTAAAAATAATATTGAAGATATTTAAAAGGAATAATTAAAGTTGTACATACCTGGAATTATCTGATAATCTAAGATAACATCTAACTACATGTTTTAATAATCTAGCTGATGGTTCTTTAGATAAATGTAAAACCATTTTACCCTAAAACAGTAAATACAGACATTCTTGTAATGTAAGATACAAAATACAAAAAAAATATTTAAATTATAAGAAAATAGAACATTAAATTAAATTGTAGCACAGGCAAAAAACTAATAAAGTGACTGAAATAAAGCTTAATCTGTACTCCACAGAAATGCAAATTCTCGAAGCAATGGTAATGATCATTGTTGACAAACTAACAGCTAAATCTGCACTCCACAGAAAAACATATTTCCGTAGTAAAGAGCATTATAGCCAATTTGCAAACCAAATGAACTAAACATACAACCTACATGAACTTACCAATATCATAGCTACATGTGAGAATCTTTCATATGTGAGACAGATATATGATAGTCCTGTTTCATCCAATAATATCTTTTGTAATATAAATGTGGCTACCTGCAAACAAAGATATGGTGTTAAATATTTATAATTGTTTTATTTAAGTTTAAAAAAAAAACATGCAAAAATATTACTTCAAAATATAATACATCTGAAATATTGATAAAATTGGTCCACAAAGCTGGAGCTTTGGACAGCTTGAACCTCAGTTATCAACAAGTACTTCATTATCTTGTCTTGGCCTTCTGTAGTGATTTATAATATATGATCTGTATCCACTAACATCAATGTCAAGAGATTATTTGTTTGATTACAGTGACATTATCTCTCTCACCAAGCAAATAAATATAATTTATTTTGAATATCACACTCAGAATAACAATAGATTAACCTAAGAAAGGTATTTCAAACTAACAGACATACAGTATAATTCTAATCTTGTCAAGACGAAAATAATTTGTTTAACAAACAGGTAAGAGAACCAAAGACTGCATGAATGGACAACTATCAAGAGGTAAAATTGTGGAAATAGTTTTGAACATCATAATTAAAACCAACCGTTTTTGATAATTCAGTGCCTGCTTCCATTATTCTGAGACATAGAGGAATGATTTCTGTATTAAGGAGAAAATTAATGACTTCTTGTTCATCTGTCTGTAACATAAAAAGAAAAATAAATAAAACAGGTATTATTTTAGGAAATAGATTGGTGCATGATGAAACAATACTACTCCAGTTAATTCAGATACCATTTGTACATCATATAAATATACAAGTAATTACGTATTATAAAACCATCCAAAATAATCTATTGCTAGGTACATCTATCTGCTGTAAAATAAGTAATTTGTTCATATATAGATTGAAAGTAATAAGACTTGAATGTTTCCTATCTATTTTCCCAACATTACATTTCAACACAAGGCAATACATTTATCTCATCATGTTGTATAAATTGAATGTGTGATTATCCAGTATCATTTATATTTGTCAGTATTATTGATCGGGGTTGTGTACTCGATAATTGAGCCTGTGCCACATTACGGGATACATTCAAATATTTTTTTTTTAGAGTACTTCTCTGTAATGGGTAAAACTTTTAAGCACAGTAAATAACGTGACTGTTTTTATTTTCTTTTTTTTTTAATAGAGCAGGCCATGCAACCCTTTTAAAGTGATGCAAGATTATCTGAGAACCAGAATAATTTCTTATTTGGCTTAAATATATTTTCACAGACACTGAGTATCCTGATAGACAACTGGATTTGTACCAAGTCATGGTTTACTGTACCTACAAATTTATTCATTATGCCACCGAACATAACGGTTGCATCTAATAGTAATACATTACTTTCTTGTTCATATCAACTTCTTGTAACAGTATATTATTAGTATAATGACTCCATGAAAGACACAATGTTGATAATACATGTAACTATTACTTACTTTGACTAAAGCACCAATAACTCCTAGACTAGTTAATCGTAAATATTCAAAAGGTCGGGTTTTACTAACAGTATGTAGGAACGGATATAAAAATAATGGAATATGAGCTGAAACATTAAACAAATTTACAATAAAAATTAAAATATTTAGGTCAGAATAAGAAAAAAAAAATATAATGTTTCAGGCCACACACACAATCAAAAACCTTTTACAAACAAATCATATCCGTCCACAATTATGAAAATTATCATCCATAACTTAGTAGAGACTATAGTTTCTATTGATCTCAGGTCGTCACCTTTATACTATTTTTGTAACTGTTTAATATAAGGTTCCATCAATGTGAACAGTGAACGTTCTCAAAATTCTAAATTTTTTAATTTAAAAAAAATTCACTTTTGTGAATTATTTATCAAAATGTGAAAGAACAAAAAATCAAATGATGACCAGCCACTAGCAAATATAAAAACAAGAGCCATGTTTTAAATAGTGTGAAGTATACCTTGTAAGAATGTTGATCTGGTTTCTGGATGTGATGCTACACATTGTAATAATGCTAATGCATTACATACTCGATTGGACTGAGAAGCCTGAAAAACATATCAAAATCATGACATGGTTCAGCATTCCATTTTCTGCAACATTGAAATAGTCATACCAGGAAAACAGGACAACTAAATACAGACATAAACCTATCACAATACACTGCATGTCAACACTAAATCCTTAACTGTTAACCATGTCATTTCTGGACTGACATATGACATACATTTACTTAAATATTCATACTTTTCTTTAGAAGTGGGAGGAAAATGAAATACAAAGAGAAAACAAATAAGGTTTGGCAAGCAACCGATGACTTTGATATTTTGTTGTCAAGGGGATCTCTAATATATAATTTTGTTACTTACAGTTAGATTTGGTGGATTAATAGCAGGATAAATATTGACTATTTCTTGTAACAAAGCAGCAATTGTACCAAATGAATGCCATAACATAGGTGCCAAGTCAGGGACAACTTCTCTTTTTTTACTGCAAAAAAAAAAGGTTCATGGTCACCATGTGTAATCATAGGGTACTACTACCTGACAGGATACAGCAGTAACTCACAGAACATTCAAAATAACACAATTTTTAATCCAAAATTATTGATAAACTCCATAATAAAATTAGATATCATAGCTATTTGGTCTTACATGTGTCCCATTACATATTCAAGGTTTAACTACTTTTAAACTTAGAGTCTGCTTTGTTCATTTGAATTTCAATAATTTATCTATCTGGTTTTCAGAAATCATTCAGATCACTCGGATCCCAAATTCATGAAGATAGTTTTTATGTTTCCGAAAAACCAAGAGAGCAGATATTCAAAGTTTTTGATTTGAAACTATAATAAAGTAAAATCTGACATTCTAACACTTGAGTTTAATTACATTATTTTTTCTTCCTCAATTCTAATATTTATCATTGATCTTGAAACAGAAAATCAAACATCCTACTTTTCTGCACAGAATGGGCAAATGAAGATGTGCACACACCAAACAATTATGTGCTATGGGTGAATTTTGTGTCAAGGGTTCTTTGACATGCATGCCAATGTGTATACATGACCTCAGTTTAAAAAATCCTTGGCAACTGTCTCAGCCAACACTGGGATTGAACCTCTGACCTCCTGTCCTGGTTAGTGAACAAGTCACAACCATACTGGGGCACCGCAACTCCCACACAAAACCATCCTCTCAGGATTGTGGTTAACTGTAAGACTAAGAATGTTTTCAACATGATTAGATAATTATATCTCACCTTAATTCTAATAATGCATTTTCTCTAGTGTCTGGACTTGTTAATTCATTAATCCATTGATATATACGATCTCTGTCTACTTGTGGTATTGCTAATGGCACACTGGCCTGTTGTTGAGGGTTTGGTAGTCGTGGCTGAAATCAGAAAAATAAATTGCATGCTTAGTAGTATTTAATTTAGTTTAAGAGAGTTGCTGTTTTCAGCCCCACAGCTGAATTAAGTTGAAAAGTAGAAGTTAAGGATAGAGCATCACATGACCTTGGGGAAATCTGTAGGTGGCCTTCTGAATGAAATAGATCTGGCCCGTTTGTTAGCGATGTTTGATTTGATGATATATGACACTGATTAAAATATAGGCTACACAAAATATTTGTTTTTCTTATTTTAACTTCGTCGTCTTTATTTGCTTGTTTTGGATGATAAAGGGAGGCAAATGGAACAGTCAGGCATCGGTTATCATATTTGAAGTACATGCTACATCATTATTATCCCACGATATAACTCACAATTTTTGAAAAAATTCAAGTAATATGCAGGTCATTGTAGTATCCTTATCATTATGTTGGGTAGTATTAGTAAGTTAATGAGCATGTGGTGATATTATTGGGGTAGTATTGGATATCTCGCCCCCCCCACCCCCCTCACGCACCCCCAATCGTAGCTAAAAACTAACACATTCAGTGTCTCAACGTTTTGAGTCTGACTCGGAGCAAGTCTTCAATTCAAGTGAAGTAATATATAGGCTACATGTTATGTACTGTAATTTCTAGTACTAGTAGGCCTAGTTACTTTAGTAACGCAAATATGAGAGCCTGCCCTGCAGGCTCTCATATTTGCGTTAGTAATAGTAGGCCTACTTCAGTACTTGTAGTACCGGTGGTACATAAATCTGAAAAGTTCGCAGCATTTTAAAGATAAACGTTTGTTCCTCGGGGATGAGACCATAAATGAGACGAGGAAATATCGTTTGCATTATTTTCTATATCTGAATATAGTTTGCATACTTGCTGTGTGGTTAAATTGTTCATTTTTTTTCGACAATTCTTCAAAATTCAATGTTTTCAATTACAAAAATCTCCGCTAGGTGGGGCAAGCCATACTCATCCGGCTTAAGAAGAACATCGTCAAAAGTCGGTCAGCTTTAAAATATATCTTCTAAACCAATATTGTAATATGGCTTTTGTATACTGAATATATCAAGATTTTTGAAAATATTAAAATTTGTTTTTTTATCAGATTTTTCTTTATCGACCGATTAATTTTCAACCAATGGCTGTTAAGGTAAACACAAGTCCGTAAGAGATTACCTAATATCCGGTGACTTTTTTGTTTTGAAGCAGACACTATTAGAACTGTCATCGACTAAAATGGAAATATTGCCTTGAATTCATCAACTTTTTGCAGGAATAGGGTTTGGAACAGGCCCAGCTTCTGCCTGTCTACGCAACTAGATCAAATTTTAATCTTTAATTCACTTTGAATTGCGTAGTTTAGACAATTTCACATAGGCCTAACCTAAATAAAAAAAACCCTGAAAATAAAAAAAACCCAAACAAAAGTGTGAGAAATAAGGTAACGTTTTTTCCAATACATGTAGCTTATTGCTGGACTTTAAATATAATGTTGGGAGGTCAATAAATATCTTCGAGTACGCATTATAATTTATTCATTTGAAGTTGAAGAAATAGTACAGTTGATTGAAGTGAAGAAAACATTGGTTGGCATAAATTTCAATTTTGCACTGGTTGTACAGACAGCCCAATTTCTAGATGGTTTCCACTCAACATCAGGATTTTCTAAGAGGAATTGTAAGTTTTTGGGGATTTGTTAAATTTGAGCATAATTCTATTAGTTATATGGCACATATTGAAACTACAAATACATACTAAATACTTCCTGTTGCAGTTTCATTTCAATCAGGTCACTGTGACTCATTTGTCATGATATACATACAAGTTAATTGATCATGTTCATAGAGTTAGCGAACTCAAATTAAAAGTCTTGGACTTCTTGTTGAGCTCTCTTGAGAGTAGAAAATTAGGCCAATCGCCAGTCACGATATATGTAGCCAGACAACTTGGACCAAAAGGGACTAAGACCAATAGAACCAATTTAGGCTATAGACTACTCAGACCAACAAAAAGGCCACTTGGACCACTCTGAAAGACTATTCGAACCAATATTTGTTTTAAATAATAAAGCGTTGTTTTAATAGATAGATAATTGTGTTTGTTGTAATACAAAATGTTATGTAAATGTACATTTACTTACCCATGTTATTATCTCATGAAAGTAGGCCTGTACATTTCTCCCCAATCAATCAGTGTTATGGCAGAGAGGTGTGAAAACTTAAGTTAACAAAGGATTATAGAATATATCATTAATATTCTGTTCATCTAGTAAACGGTTAACTACATGTATGTTAGTAATTATCATGAGATAAGTTCATGTATCATTGGTTAACGCCCTGCATTGGCTAGGAAAGTACCTGGATATTCCAACGTGGTTTCCCCTTGTCAGTGGTACAGAATGGAGGGCATGACAAGGACAGCTGTCTAGTCATTTGGAATGCACATAAAAGATCCCTTGATAGTTGGAATTCGATATAAGAGTAGGCCATAGTGCCTCTGCAGGGGCAAAATTCCCTTATAGCACACTGTATGGCGTACGCCGGTCTTCATTAGGCCAGTCCGAGCAGAACAGTAGGATGCTAAACCTCATTTCATTTTGTCATCGGTTAATGAGTATCTTAAGTACATGTACTTCTCTTGCATCAAAATTTACTCTTGAATCAATCAAATATATGATTAGAAACCTCACTATCGTTGTATAAAGATATTTATCACTGCAATTACAACATATCTTTAAAAATTGCAAAGGCTCAAGTTCGTGTATGATTTATTTCTAATAAGCGAACTATTAACGGGAGTAAAAAGTGCAATTGAATATGCCGACCCTATTTCACATTTTGTGGATTTATGATTTGTTTTTGATATTTTTTGTCTATTTCATGTAGATTATGGTAAATGTAGTAAACTATATAAAGTTGTTTTTGTTGAGTTTCATTTTTGTTGTAAACCACATTTCTGTGAAGCGGATTATAGTTTTAATCTTTTTGTATTTGATAATTCTCCTGCTAGACTGCTCCTACCACAAGAACAATAGTGGGGGGCATAACAGGATGACCCCATATAAATACCACACTATAAAATACTATGCTCTCCCTACTGTTTCTATACAAATGAAACATGGTACGTAATTTTGACACCACATTCATTTCTGGTTTTGATCATAAGCAAAATATTGGTCCAAGTTGTGTTTTGTCTTGGTTCGAGTAGTTTTGGTCTGAGTGCTCTTTGGTGCGAATTGTCATGGATTCCCAGTCTTACATTTTGTCGTTTTTAAAAACATAGCTCTGTCACTACTCAAATGATGCATCATATCTTATGAAAAGGTCTTAGTCTGACTAGTTTTTACATTGAATGGAAAGGTATATGTACATGTATTACAACACTCGCTTTTGATAATTGAGAGCACAAAAAATATATTTGACTTGTGTTACAGGTTGGTGAAGATGGCAGGATTTCAGAAACAGACAAACTATAAGTCGATTGGGTCATATTATGAAGATACGAATATGGATTCAGAAATACCTCATGTTGAAACTGAGATGATTCATATGGTACCAGAGAGAAGCAAAGGTAAAGTTGCATATAAGCTTATTCATTTGAAGGAATGCCCTGCTATAAAAATTTGATCAAACCAGGTCATGTTTATGTCACGTGACTTACCTCTCTTGGAAGTCAGAGGAGAATTCATTGCATACATAAGACGATGTTGTCTTTAATCACTTACTATTTATTACAAATATCGAATCCTATTTAAATTCTCAGATTATCCACTACCTGCGTCTTTTTCCGTCATTTTTATCTCAGAAAGTGTTGTACGTCTAACTCTTCATAAAGTTTATCAACTTGTACATCAAGCGCTCAATGTTCGCGTGTGACCTTTGACATCACGCGTGCAGAAATTCCTAATCGTCGGGCTATCGATTAGGGGAACCCTTACATTTTTGTCCTGTATACGCTCCATAAGTGCTTTTTCGGGGAATTCAGTATTTTTCTAGTAAGATTGGATATCTCTACTTTCCATATATACCAAAATTGCCATACTTTTATTGGAAATAACCACCCGATAAATACTTTTCTGGGAACCCATCTTTAATTTAAAGTTTATAAATATTTTAGCTCGATGGAACCACATTGAAAATCTTGATGAATTCTTTACCCGAGTCTACCACTATCATCAGCGAGCTGGTTTCCTGTGTATGGTGGCAGAAGAAATACTACAACTAGTGTAAGAATAGATTCTAATATATTTAATGTTGCTAGTACAATATCAATTTAAGCTCTTTGAAAATTATTTGAATGCATATATTAGAACTTAGAAGGTTATCTAAACTAGACCAATATATTTCTGCCTACATCTTTCTTCAGATGTAATATAGCTTTCTTTAGAGGGTTCATATACATGATTTATGACTTATATATATATCTTCTTTCCTTATCTTGCAGGCAATTTGTGTTTGTGGTTGTGTTTTCAGCATTTTTATTAAATTGTGTAAATTATGATGTGTTATTTGCTAATGTCCATTATAATACAACTCACAAAGTTACCATTAATGAAGCAGTCTATAATTCAGAACAGTGTTTAGAAAGGTATGTACATGCATTATAATTAGATTGTCTCAAACAACTTTACGCTACGCTATAACATTAACACCCATGGATATAAACAGGACAGAGGCTTTCAGTAGATGTAGGTTTCAAGGAGAGGGGTTATTCAAAAATCAGTTTTGAGATTGGTTCAATTCTCCAGTTGAAAATAAAGGATATTGGAACAGAAGAAATGCAAGGAGAATGGTAGATTCTGTTCTTATTGACAAATGAACTGTTGACAGTGTTCCTGACAATTTGTTGTCTCAATCCATCAGTAAATAAAGCTAGCCCCTTGAGAAAAGAATTTCCTGACTCTCATTCTTCCTACCTGTTTTTTTAATGATAATACTCCATGATGCCCATACACATTGACTTTTTTTTTGTCTTTAAATTTTGTTTAAAGTGATTTCTGTTTATTATGATGTTTTTATATTTACAGGTTTGATTTTACGCTGATAGTGTGCCTCATTATTGCTGCTGCCTTCTGGTTATTGCGTCTCGTTAAAGTTATTTATAATATTTTCAAGTATTATGAAATACGATCCTTCTTTCTGACGGCTCTTAAAATATCAGCGGTATGGCACATTTCATTACTAAGAGTTTTCCCATAATTTGAAATTGATGTGTTGTGAAATAAATGTGACTTGTAGGGGTTGAACATAAATCTATATTAAAATTACTGTGATCCAATCATATCACATGAAGCTTTAAAATTTATAAACTTTAATGTTTTATATTGTAATTTATTAAAGTCTGACCTACCAAACATGACCTGGCATGAAGTACAGCGCCGTTTATTAGAAGTACAGAAAGAACAACAGATGTGTGTACATAAAACAGAACTCACAGAATTAGGTACAACCAATTTTCTATAAGAACTTCACGTACATCACCACATCTGGTTCAATGACTACTATATTGTTTACTTTTGGTTTCTTTACCACTAAACAAATCTTCATTTTTACGTATGTTAATTATAATGTTCATGTCTGCATGTGAAAGAATTTAATCATCGCTGGACTGGTACTGACTGACATCCCAAGTAATCCTAAAAATACTAGATTACTGTGATTTGGATCAAAAACAAATTGTCAGTTTTGATTGATTTGTTATGTTGATTTGTTTTGTTTTGTTTTTTGTTTTTTTTGGGGGGGGGGGTCGATCAGTCTATGTTGGAAATTTGAGAGCTCCACTGTCGATACAATAAGCCAATGCCAGCTTGCTCCATCTCTAATCAAAATGACCCATCAGAACCAAATTATTCATTACTTTATTTAATCCCAAACCAAAGAGGTTTGATTCTCTTGGGGTTTTTTTTTCACTATAGTTAGTAGACTACATATGATATGTGCATGAAAAAAAGAACAAATACAATGTATGTACTTTTATTTCCAGATATATACCATAGAATATTACGTTTTAAAAACTACTTAATAGCCATGGTTAATAAGGAAGTATTACCTGTGAAATATAATCTGCCATTCATTGGAGAATAGTAAGTAGTTTAAACAATTTATTTCCTCACTGCTCAACAAAAGAATTAATTATCAAGGTGGATCCAAACAGATTTATTTCTTCTAAAATAGTAGATTTATATCCTTAATATATTTTAAAGTATTAAAGTACTGTACTGCAAGTCAGTTCTATATACCACAATTATTGTACGTTAAAGTTTCTTTACATGATGATGACAGGAATCATGAAACATATTACAGTGGGGTTAAGTGCCATAACAATGTATCTAGGTTTTGACAAAATTGTGTTTTTATTCATGATTTGTTTAATTTGTTATTTTTTACAGCGCATTTCTGAGTACAGGATTGAAATATAATTTGGAAATGATACTTTTCTGTAAGTACAACTTTATACCTAACATTATAAAAATTTCAGTGTAAAATATTCGTTTAAAGACTTTCTGTTTTGAGGCAATTGGCCGTAACTGTGTGAAAATAATGCATATAAGGCCAAAGTCATTGGACCAATATCTGATGTGTATGTGAGGTCATGGGTTTTCTCTGAGTACTTCTATGCCTTCTCACATCTAAAGATTCCTGCACACATGCAAATTATTGAATCTCTCTTTCTGTTTGACTTGAACTAACTAGAATCATGTGGGTTCTCTTCTACTTTTCCATCATATTAAATAATTTGCATTCTTCTTTCAGGGGGTCCTTGGTCACCATTTGAAAACAACTGGCATCTGAGAGATGAATTTAAAATAACTAATAGAAGAATTCCTCTTGGAAATCAGTAAGTTGCATCTAATTTCAAATATTTAATAATGATGATCAAAACGATTCTTATTCTGATTTTACAATAATTAATTAGCAAATGGTTCCAATTTGGTTCATTTTAATTAAACAGACTATTGTTAAATAATTCAGAATATCTATCCGGAAAATAAAGTTCTGTTTTCAAAGAAAAACCATGTGCCACTCAAATATGTTTTCAGCTTTCTTATCATTTGCATCAGTTCTGTTGAGAATGGAAGTTTATTTATTGTCAGAAGAACAACATATTTGAAATTTTCAGACAACCAAGAAATGTTGTCTTTACATCTATTCTTTAAAAAGGAACACTGTAGAAATTCATTCTACATGCATATTATTAAATATTTTCAGATTGAGTAGTAGATTTTTCTGGCATGGTGTAGCTAATCTACTTCTATGTCCGGTCATATTTCTCTGGCAGATATTATACTTTTTCTTCCGTTATGGTGAGGTAAGCTAAATCAAAAGTAAAACCATGTTATTGATAATTAATGTGATGTTTAGTTGTAATGAAATCCCAATCCATGAGTTTTGATTACTTAAAAACATCTTTGGTCTTATTCCTGCCGATATTATAATACTTTTGGGTTGAGTTAGCAGCAGAATATTAAAACGACTGTTCTTGTCATATACCAGTGGAACATAAACTTGTATTTTAATAGAAAAATTTAAGTAAATTTAATATAGAGAAATATATGAGTATTTGAAACAATGCTAACAACTTGTATATGTAATTTATCTGATTTTCAGCTAATAAAGAGAAAACCTGGTGCTTTAGGAGCCAGAAGATGGTAAATGATTTTACATATTCAAATATAGAAAGATATACATACATCTTACTAAACTAGTTTGTACTTCAAATTTGAGAGTAATTTGTAGGTCAAATTTGCCTGTTTAATGTTTACTATTTTCTATTTTGGCAAAATTGTTGACTATCTCTTTACACCATCCTTACATTTAACTATATTATTACAATGAGTCAGATAGTCCTAGCTTAAAGTAGCTATAAGTCTCTAACTCAATATCATCCAAAATCTTCGACATTGAAAACACGATTTATTTGTCGGTTTAAATCAACATTGATGTTGTGATCTTACCGGGAAAAAATAGCCTTCTGATATCCAATATTCAGGGCTTGCCACGAGCAAATTGGAGGCGAGTAGATGACTACTCACGCAAATATAGACTTGCGCGAGTGAGGCGAGTACATGTATTTACTCACGCAGAATGATGTGCGTGAGTAGCCATTTAAATTTCATGAGCCTAATGGCAATGCTCTTGTCACTTCGGTGGAAGCGGACGTTGAATAAAGCTATTTCACACACAATGACAATGCATACTCTTTTATTTCCTTGGCAAAAAAAAATATCTGTAAATCGTCTTCCCATGACAAGAACGTTGCAAGAGAAACTGGGCTTCCCTTTGCCATCGTTGGCGTGCTGAGGGGATTCGGGTAAAGCTTAGAAAGGTAAAAGAACAGGCAAAACAATTTCAATCCCATCAATTTGCAGAAAAGATGCGGGATCGAAAGAATTGCTATTAATAGAAATGACAACATCCGCTCAATGTTTGATTATCCAGACACGGCAAAGGACATCCGCTTAAAAACCGCCTGGCAGTACGCGTCTCAAAGTATTTTTAGTAACAACAGTTGGCACTGGAAAGACACGCCGCGTGCGCAATAGTGCATCGATATGAAGGCATACAAATTGTTTACGGCTTTTTATATTACGATATTCAATTATTTCTGATTAAATTATTTTTTATATTTGCGCGAGTACTTAATCACTCACGTAAATTTGGTTTTACGCGAGCGTAGCGTGCGCGCGAGTAATTACTCGCGTCTCGTGGCAAGCCCTGATATTTAAGACAAAATAAACATTTTACAATTGGTACACGAATCGTGTACCATAATGCATTTCAGCGCTTTTTGTAATAAGGGACTCGAAAAACGAGGCTAGACATATTCCACAAGTCATGTCATGTTATATTTATTAAGATATTTTAGTATTTGACCATGTTTCTATTATATGACAATTTCTATATTTCAGGTCCAACTATTCTCGTCATTATCTTCGCCACTTTAATGAAGTAGATCATGAATTTGATGCAAGGTAAATCCAGAAATTTTCCGTTAACAAAATTTCATATTAATAGTTATAAAAATTCTTTACCTTATATAAATCAGTAACTTCCAATTATTCTTCATCAAAATAGAAATCATATCACACTTGCAAGGGTAAAGTTATTAATGAACTAATTTGTTATAAATATTTGTATATTTCAGATTGAGTAGAGCCTATGGTTTATCTAATCTTTATCTTAATATATTTACATCTCCCTTTCTTGTCATTCTAGCCAAGTAAGTATATACTATATGTCAGTTGTTTTTCGATTTTATACTTGATGACAAGTAAACTGGTCTGTCATTCAATTTGTCCTTATTATTACAGTTGTTTATTCAATTTAAGCAGAATGAAATTTGTTGAGACAATCTTAATTTAACAGGCATTATGCAAGAGCTAAATCTGCCTATTGCAGATCTTTCTTTAGGCCTTAATGTTATATAAACTATTAATTAGACATTTATTAACATGACAAGACCATAATCAAATCTCAATGCCTTCGGATAGGTCCGATTGTAAGTAGATTAGAACTATTCAGCCATTTAACAATTTAATCTAAAAATGGTGAAGTGAGGCTAATCCCCGAACATCCAGTGCAGTGGTTACAGTCAGTGCACACATCTTGTCAATCCATCAAAGGCCAATATCTTTGCTCAGAATAAAGTAATTTGAATGAAATTTTCAACATATTCATATTGCATTATCTATTTTTGAACTATTATAGCAAGAATGACCAGCACTTTATCTAAATCTTACATAATTTATCTTTAAATGTAATTTATTTTCTTAATAAATCTAACTACATGTATCTTGAATATTGAATATTGGCAGGTATTATTATTTCATTAAATTGTATAATACATTTTCACCCCCTTTTGAAATGTATCAAACAAAAAACATAGACTCTTTATTTCTAAACATTGTTAACTGACAGGAATACAGCTTTTTTTGCTGGTTCTGTATTAGCTGTATTGGTGGTATTAACAGTTGTAGATGAAGATGTACTTAGTGTTGAACATATGTTAACTACCATGACAATAGCAGGTATATAGTTCTTTTATATTTTGTTTAATAATTTAATTATTTAAAATTTTATCCATTTAGAAAATTTCAACAAACTAGGGGAGATCTAAATAATAACAATTATATAATGACAAGCAGTCGTAAGTTTAAGTTATGTGAAAACAATATAAATGGTATTTTTAGATTGTTACATTATGATTTGTGACTCAGTGAGTAAGGCACTGGCTCGCTAACCTGGAGGTCTGTGTCCCAGGTTTGATCCCAGTGTTTGGTGAGAAAGTTTTCTCTTGTCTGTGTTGCAGTACAAGGGACTTGCCAAGGAACAGTATCTAGTCATTATGATGCACGTTAAAGAACCCTTGACAGTTGCAATTCGAAATAAGGGTAGGCTGTAGATACCCGGGAAAAATTTCCTGTCATTAGTCCAGATGGAGTAGACAAATAGGAGACTAACCCCATTTCATTTCCTTATAATTTGTGTAATATTAAAATTTGTCTATTCATATTATGCAGCAGAACAAATTTAGAAATTTTGTATTATAGGTGTGATAGTTACTGTTTGTAGTAGTCTTATTCCAGAAGAGGTAAACTATATTCTTTATCTATTGTAGTTTATACGTTATGTGTAGATGTAATGTTTGTAAGCTCCCAGATCAAAACCGTCTTTCACATCAAAACTTGCATTTTTATATCTACCCACTGATATATTTAATACTCTTGTATAAGCCCAAATTGAAATTTATTCCCAAATGCAAAGAGATGGACTTAAAGCAAAAATTCTTTCTTTTGATGTAACAATTTCTTCTTAGCTAGTATGCTTCCAATATTTGGTCGTTTTTAAACTAAGATATTTTACATATTGACAGCATACGATATATTGTCCTGAGAGATTGATGAGAAATATACTAGCCCATATACATTATATGCCTGAACATTGGAATGGTGTAGCACATACTTATAAAGTCAGAGATGAATTCTCTCTTCTCTTCCAGTATAAAGCAGTAAGTATAAATTACAATTTTTGTTGGCATGTTTGAGTTTGTTTTTGTTTTTTTCTTTTGAATATGATTTGATGCCATAATTATTGAAATTGATATGCCATGATTTTATTGTGAGATGTCTTATAGGCAAAAATATCATAAAACTAAAAGCAATAACTATATGTCACATTATTCAATTTACAATTTGATGACCCCCATTTGTAAATGAAATGAAATTAATTACATATGGTTTTGCATCTTACTATTGTGCACAAGCTGTACTACGAGGGCAATTTTGCATTACAGTGGCTCTACAGCCTACATTTTTTAAATTTTCAACTGTCAGGGAATATTTAATGTGCTGCAAATGGTATACACAAGACCTCGGTTTTTCATCCCATCCGAACGTCTAGACGTCTATGTTCTCTCCTACACCACTGACAAAGGAAAACTAGACAGAAACTTTTCTAGTCCGAACCATAGTTTTAACATTTATGTAAGCCGCGATTAGAAACAATACTATTTCCAAGACTGTAGGATTTATTCATTCTTGTTTTGTGGGTTTGGTATGCCACATTAAAGTTGTTGTTGTCAAGTTCCTTACTTTATGACTAAACAGTCATTTCCTTTAGAAAGATCACTTCATATACCCTGTGTTTTTAAATGAATGTATTTTAAATCTATTTTGTGTATTTTATTTTTTCAGTCATATTTAATAGAAGAGTTACTAAGTCCAATCATCACACCGTTTATACTGTGTTTTTACTTCAGTACCAGATCTTTACAGATTGTAGATTTCTTCCGTAATTTTACTGTAGAAGTTGTTGGAGTAGGAGATGTCTGTTCTTTTGCACAGATGGATGTCAGAAAGCATGGCAGCCCTCAGGTTTGTTGTCGAAAGATTATAATTTATATTAATTTAACTTAATAAGCTGTTGATAAGGTTTAGATAATTGAATATTTTAACTAGTTTCTGTAAATTAAATTGTGTAAATCTGTGAATCTGGTCTACTGTAAGATTTCAACAAAGCTTTGTTAATAGATTCATGAGAAATATAAAATTACCAAAATCATGCTTGGAGCATGAGACAAACAAATTTAGTGCTGATGTGAAGGAAATTGATTGTCAAACCTGCTTCTACCTGTACAGATAGTAGGACGTTAAATTTTATTTCATTTCATTTCAACCTGTACAGACATAATGTTATGAATGGGCTGAGACTGTGTGCTTGGGAAAGCTCTGTATTTACTCTGGCATTTAGATTCAAATCCTTTTTTGAAAAATGTCTATTCTGTTGTGAAAAATGGAAGTTGCACATCCATGTAGATAATAGGCAAAAGGGAGAAAAAATGACTGTCATTTGTTCTAATTTTCTTAATGTTTGTCTTGTTTTGAAATAAACTGTAGGACGTTAACCCCATTTCATTTCATTTCTGTTTTGAAATAATTATCATCAACCCAAAATCATATCTACTTCCCTGTTTGAGTTTAACTATGGTCATAAATAAACTATTTTCAATTCCTCAATCTTAACGCTGTATAATATTTTTTAAATATTTAACATTCAATTATTATCTGTGATGTATTTATTTTAATTCTAACTTGATATTAAATTTTCAACAGAATAAAGTTTTACCTGAATTAAGAATATTGTATACATTTATTGTTATTCTATTCATATAGTGGGGAACAGCAACAAAAGATGATATTACCGAATATCAACAAGCTGAAGATGGTAAAACAGAGTTATCTCTGATGCACTTTCATGTTAGTATGACTTAATTATGTTATTGACAGTTTTATATTGATAATAGAATGAATGACATGTGTTATTGTAAGTCAGACAGAGAGAAAAAAGTAGGTTTAACCTCCACACAAACATGATATATTTTTATTTCAATAATTTACTTGGGGTCTTTAATAGTGGAGGAAAACCGGAGGACCTGGAGAAAACCCATAAGGTTAGACAGGAGACATGCAAGCCGTCAGGGATCCAAACCACAAATTCTGGACCTTACAATTAGTGCTGGGTATTGCCACTCCAGTCATGATATGATACGTATTGGAATTCAAGTGCTACGATATGATTCGTGTCACAATTCATAACCAGGTCAATATTTCCCAAGGAAACAACAGGATAAATGAAAATGTAATATTTTTAATCCTGCTGATGTTGAAGTAATAAAAATAAGGACCAAAACAATTTAAGTGTGTTTGTGTACCTGACGTGGATAATTAAGAGTGACAGGTTACTGACTGAGGTGACAAAAAAAACATAAAAAAAGAATAGCAATACATCAATACAGCGTCTTGCGATTCAATACACGAATCGTGAGAATGTGAATGGCTATTCAACGATCTATCGAGCCAGCACTACTTACGATCTAAAATGCACAAGTTAGACCACTCAGCCAACCAAATCCCCACAGTATAGTAAAATTAACAACACTATTTTTCACATCCCCATCTTCATTAGCCCAGTCGTAGCAGAACAGTAGGATGTTAACCCCATTTCATTTCACTTGTCACAACATATGCTGATTTTACTATTCATATATTCTGTTCTTTTGCAGGAAATCTGACATTTTAATTTGATTTGCATGATGTTTATGTCTACTCTATATTTAAAAATTGTACAATTGTACATCTGTAAATTAAGTATAAAAGAAATATAAATTGTATTTTATTTTTATTGCAGCTTACCAATCCTGAATGGAAACCACCTGATAATTGTAGTCTATTTATAAATAATGTCAAAGATCAAGGTATAGTAATAGTGTAGTACAATATTTTTGTCATTCTCACAAATTTTCTATTGACTTATAGATAGCAAGCAATTAAATTATAAAGGATTGTGCTGAATTTTTCATGGTTCATTCTTCTCATGAGAAAAATCACCAGTGGATTAAACTTCCTGTTGATCATAGAACTGTATAATCTAATCAGACTCCAATAGGCCATCTGACAGATGTTTTAATTTTGGAATTCTTTATAATATCCTACCTGTGGTAAATAGTAAATCTTAGAATATTTTTATTTCTCTTTGAAAGAATCAAATTGACTATAACACATTGGCAAACAACAGAGAGTATTTTTTTTATTTGTCCAACATGATTAAAAATTAAAAAGTTGAAATTTATAATGATTATAATATGTCTATGTGTTACAGCCCATCGTGATATAGCATCTATGAGTACCATGCAATTTGATAATCCTGCAGCGTCATCACTCTATGGTCTGTCTGTAGCTCTGCCAAGTCTTGGACCTGGTTTAGGATTTGGGGTAAGTTTATATTTGTCCAGTTCAGAAAATTTAGAAAAACATTGTTATTCAAAGTTAAATATTGAAAAAAAATGATGCTAACCAGATTCAAAATTAGCAGTCGCAAACTTTTGAAACCATATATGAAATTGTTTTTATATCACTCACTCAATCAATTTTTACTCCCATATTCATGACATTTTCTCTTCACAAAATATCAAAGACTGGGTTACCAGTTTTTGACTCATATGTGGGTTTGGCAATAGTTACTCACTTCTAGATTGGATAAAAACCTTTTATCTTTGAAGTATGTGCTCAAAAGTTCAAATATAGGTCAATTGGGGTGATCTATAACGACCAATAACACATCAGATCAACACCGATTTCAATACTTCATGTTTACCTCACTGAAAGTGATTTAGATGGCTAACCTGGTTGTGTAAAGAAAAACTATGTAGATTAACTTGCTTTGATATAACATTTGTTAATAATAATATTTGTTATATTTTAGTATTCCAGTATGATCTCCAGTATAACTGGTCAAAGTGCCATTAATTTACTACCATCTACTACAGTACAGTCTTCGGCATCCTGTACAAAATTCCGTGGCGCCGTTTCTAATCTTGAAATACCTCCCGGTAGCACTAGTGGTATACTAACCAGTATGCACAGCTCAACAGAGTTGCAACCTAGTTCCATGGGATTTGCTGGACATTCCATGCGACAGGTTGACGAAGGAACAATAGAACTAATGTCAGCTGATATGAGTTTCAGTGCTCTATACATGCATGAACTGCGCAGGCGACGCCCTCCTAATCGCGCTGGCATACAGTTAGATAACTTTGATGAAAGTCGTTCGAGGATGATGCATCGTCAAGACAGCAATACACCACACACCCCGGTTATGCCTGAGATTCAAGAAAAGTCAACTGAAGAGGAAGAAAGAGAGAGATTAACAAAATAGATTCCAGGATATATTTATCATTATTGGAATTCTGAAGATCAAATGAGATCAGTCAGATGGCTGTAAAACATTGAAATGGCACTGTAATTATCTTAACACATTGCATTGCAGGAGTGATACCCATGGCTATGGGACAAAGAGTTAAATCACTGATTCATGTAATAACACACAAAATCCTAATTGCAAATATGCAAGATTTAATGTTTATGACACACCCTTGAATGCTAACCTTAAACAGAGTTATTTGTTTATACCCCCTCCTAAGACTTTGTGTAGGCCACAAGAAACAATTTATGATAACTAGATATTAGTGTATGAGGATTGGACATTCTTCCACCACAAATTATAATTATATAATTCAATTAGAAAACCCAATTGTAAAGAGAAAAACAATCAGTTTTCCCTCCAGGGGTAATCTGGCAGATAGGTTTAAGATGATTTCTTTAGGTCATGAGGTCTGTCATAAAGTCAGGTGAAATGATTTTGTACATGACAAGGAGTAGTCACCTACCTAACAACAGACTTTTCCCAGGGTCCCTCGGTTTTCTCCCACCGGTAAAAGGCTCAATGCACAGTTGAATTACTTAAGAGAAAAAATATTCCGTTATGCTAGTCAAAAAGAGTAAACCTTATTATTAAACTCCATATCTCTCTCTCTCTCTCATATTAAAGGGACTATCCCGATTTCAAGAGTATCAAAAATAAAAGTCGGGAGTACGTATGAAATTTAAGCGCCAAAATATAGAGGAATGGTGTATTTACCTTCTCTCAAAATTCCAGCTTAAAATATTGAGTCGTTTGGACGTGAACGTCAAAACTGCTTATCCGGACACGTAACCCTTTTAAGATTTTGGGTCAGTTTTTTCGTTGGGTGACCTGATAATCGATTCCCGTTCCTTGAGAGGTCTATATAGTGAATGGCCCATGTGCTCTACTTGATAACGAAAGGTAAATTTCACCTACACATTATTATTATAAAATAAAAGTCTAGTTTTATGCAGACACCGCATAATACAGCTTGGGACACCGGTCTCCATTTCCAGATGAAGAATGGCAGGTTTAAGTTGTTTGAAAACGTATCACAAATAGTGAGTTAGTTGCTCGGCCCTTAGCTAGAGGAATTTAAGGGATTTTAACACAAAATTAAGCAGTTTTATTCTGCAAAAAATATCGGGATTAGCCCTTTAAACTCCATATCTCTCTCTCTCTCATATCCTCCCCATCCTTTTGTGCTTTTTAGCCCTAGATGTATACAAAATGCTTATGTTGCATTCATTCCTCTTCTGAAGAATGGCTAAGGATCCAGCAATCATAAATAGGCAGAACATGGGGCATATGGAATATGATTTTATTGTATAGTAAGATTTAAAATTAACATACAAGTAAAATGGTAGGCATATATCTTTTCTGGCAACCTATTTTATCTTTTTGTCTACTATTTACTGATTGTAATTTGCTTTTTTTTAAAAAACCTATCTTTGCATAATTATAATGCTTTTATTCTTTCCACCTTGTGGCATATATTTGCAATATGATTCATTCTTTGTGAATTGTGCTTTTTCTTTGTTTAAAAAACAATTCTTAGTCTATAGTGATTTAGCATTCATAAAATTTTTCTTACTTTTTTTCATAATGTATTTAAGGACATTCTTGATACATGTATATGTGTGGGGTGATTTATGTATTGAAGGTATGCTTACTCCTTCCAGAACATCTGATACCACAACTTGATTTATTTGAACATTAATATTGAATGCCTGTATTTTGTACTATTTGTTTTGTGTTTTGACCATGCCCCAATAGTAGATGCTTAATAAATTATATATTTATTAGTGTTTGTCGATCTTCAGATGGGGGTTGGTATTAATTTTTTAAAAAATTAGATGTGCACTACGTGATATGAAGTATGTTGTGAATAAGGAACAAAATCAACAGAATAATTTCATTGATCGTCTACAAGAAAGGGGAAAAATTGGCTTGTGGAGCTTTGATAAGGCTAGCTTCAAAAGTACATACATTTATATTTGAATTTTTTGATGTCTATTGGATAGGGAGGGCACTTGTGCCCCCCGTCCCGGCCACCACTACTGATTTTTACAATGGGCTTATTGTATTCGTTAATTGAGTGCTGCTATTTGCAACCACTACATGTAATTGTTACAGTTTCTCCACGTTTAAATTACATTTAACTTAGATTTTTAACTTAAAGTAATTTTAGTTGAATGGCATATCTAATTTCATCTTCTTCCATTAAAGTTTATACCGGTTTATTATATATATTTACATAATGTTAAATAACTACATTTATAAGCTAATTAATGTTAAATATATGTTAAATACACGTCGTTATAAGCTGATTAATGTTGTCAGTTAATGTTGAATTCTTGTAAAATAAATATTATATTGTTAAATTCTGGTAAAATAACTATTATTATGTTAAATTCTGGTAAATAACTACATTATGGTAAATTGTATAAGTTAATTAATGTTAAATTACCATTTACTGTTATCGTATGTTGTAGCAGTTGTAATTCACATCTGTGAATTTATATGATAATGTACATTTAGATTTAGATTTGCAGTGGAAAGAAATCCTTACAATATATTCATCAAGTTTATCGTTTTGAGCAACAGAAATAATTTACCCAATAATTGGGATTTATTCGCTAATCTATGTTTATCTATGTTTAAACCCTGATCTTGTAGGGATATATCTTTAAACTTATACCATCATGCATAATTACATGTAAGTAATGATACATTCTTGTCTTGGATGTTTCTATATACATGTATGTATGTACATGTAAATGGGTATTAATGTTTGTACTACTGTTTTGTGAAATTGTGTGATCAATTATTTTTCACATTGTGGCAAATATTTTTTGAGATTCCCAGCCTTGCCCTTTAATGTTTAGGGTGGATGCTACACATATATTCAGTTATTTTGTCTTTATTACAGTGAAAACACCAGCACCTCTAAAAAAAATTGTTGTCTTGAAATAACCTGTTTTCCTTGTTGTGATTGTATTGCATTAGTTTTTTTTATGTTGTATAATAATAATATATGGTCCTGGGCTGGCAATGATCAATATAGTGTGTTGGAAGGGGTAAGGTAATGTTGTTTTTGCTGTATTGTTCATAAGCAATCCTATTGATATTTGATTATAATGGGGAGAAGTCGATGATTATTGTAATTTTTAAGGCCGATGTCCATCAGGCACAGTAACGACAACCAAACCTCAGCACATTTTGGCTTGTTCCAGTAATGAATGTAAACTGAACCAAATTGTTGAAATTGATTATCTGTGTGATTTAAAATAAAAGCGAATGAAAACATCAAATTTTCAAATTTAGTTCAGGAACATCATTTTCTTCCTCAGTTTCTGAGAGGGTTACTTATGGCTGATCTTGTTGGACATTGGAAACTGCAGGATGAAGCTGAAGCTGTTGTTGTGAGCATTTTAAGCAAATTTACCTATCATTTCCAAACAGCTGAATATTTTGATATAAAATGTTTAGAAAAGGTATAGTTGGGCTGGGACTGCTCTTTTAACCGCTAAAAGTAGAGTCCTTAAGTATGAAAACTAAACTCTCTTAAGTCAACTGTAACTCAAAATCAGTACGGACTTTGATTTTCCTACCATTGTAAGCTTACATTGATAAACGCACGATTCTAAGCTATAATTGATTTTAAGTGATTTAGTATTTTGTTAATGTCACCTTGTAAGGCGGCTGCAACCAATAAAACTTAAAATATTTTACCCTGAAATGTTAAAATGTGGACTAGGTTTTTAAAACAGATTTTAATATGTGTGTATTTAATTGATTTGCTATTGTCACAGCCTGAGCTATTGGTATTACTTGTAGATTATTGATGTTTATTAATAGTGATATGGTACACTGGGATTTCACTATAACAATTCATGGTTCAATGTTATGTGGGGTATCACAGCTTTTTTAAATCCATGCTAAAATGTACTGATATTGATTATTTAACATTAAATTCGGAAATAAAGTCAGTGGGTTCAATATGGAGGACCTGGCAAGGACATCATCTAGTCATTCGAATGGCTGAAAAACCAAGGTCCTGTATATGCATTATCATGCACGTAAAAAAAACCTTGACATTTGGAATTCGAAAATAAGAGAAGGTCTTAGTGCCGCTGTCCAAACAAAATTTCCCTCATAGCACACTGTATGGTGTACGCCCGTCTTTGTTAGCCCAGACGGTGCAGAAAAGTAGGTCATTAACCCCATTTCATTCTGTTTGCAACAGATTAAAACTCCTCAAATGATGATCACAGACTTAGAGTAGCAATAATATTTTGCAAATAGGAATTATTTGTAAAATATGAATATTAATTTATATATCTTAAAAGTTTTAGCACCATTACATGGAACCTTTTTGAATAAATGCCACCCATTGCTTCTAATTCACTTACTGTAAACAAAAGCCATTTTTGGTTGCCATATAATTTAAGAAATTGAGATTTCAAAGGCTGTATTTGAGAAATATAAGGATTTGTAGGGTACAGTATGCTTTAGCTATAACAATAGGGGGGGGGGGGGTAGGTGGATGGCCAAATGGTTAGAGCGTGCACTTTGTGTCATAAGGTGGTCATTGAATCAATTCTGTGATTTCAATTCCCTGGTTGTATGTGACAAGGAGTTTGATCGCCTGTCCAACCTCATGGCTTTTCTCTGGGTTCTCCCACTGCTAAAGACCCACCCCTACACCCAAGCGAATTAGTGAAATGGCATTGAACCATATGTTAGTCCCAAAACCTAGTTTGTGTCGAGTGGAATTAAACCCCATTTCTCTCTCGTCATAACAATGTGATTTACTCCATGCAAAGACTGCATATGTTTTGTGAATTATAAAAATACTGCTACCAAAGTCTGTGTTTCTGCCAAGAAACTTATGTTGGCTTTCTACTATCGCCAATGGAAACCTAGCCTGAGTGTCTTGCTATGAAACAGACTATATGTGGCCCCATGACCATAATTGTCACAACAGTACACGATACACCATGCAAACAGAATTCACCATCGTTTAGTGATATCCCAGTGATATTGAATAGTTAGTTGTTGTTTAGTTTAGTTTCACTTGTTGTAATAAAAGCAGCTTATTTTTAAAAATGTACATAAAATTAACTATTTATTATTGAATAAAACAATTTTTATTTCCACCATTTTTTATGCATTTCATCTATCAGACCAGTTTCCCAGTCTGCCATTTACAATTATCAATAGTTGCAGAGAATTGCTGTAAATAGAGGAACTACAACCATCATGAGAACCGGGTAAGCGTTTCCTAGTCTTAGGCCATAACTACATAACAATCAACAAATTTAACAAAATTTATCCATTTGCAAATAAATACATTTTACCAAATTCCTACATGCATATTGTCAGCTGTGCAGAGAATTGTAAAACTAGACCTTAACCCAAATTCGAAGAAAGAAAAAAAAAGGTTCTTATCATCGCCTCTCCATAATAATAAGTTTCAAGCCTTAGATCATAAACTATAGATAAGATGAAATATACATCAAAAATCGATGTTAATGAAAAGATATAAAAAAACGAACACATTTGACCACCATTACACTCGACTATAATACGTATGATAATATTTCAATTTTACTTAATAGGTGGTTAAAATATATATTCAAAATCAGTGTAAATTTTGTTGATTAGAAATAAAAACAGAACATATATTTGATCACTATTACACTATACTACCAGGTGTATATGTATAATAATAATGGTAATTTTAAAAAAAATTATTATAAGATATTTGATGTATATTGTACTATATGGAAGACGAATTAAGGGGCACTTGCATTATATGAGGTGCGCATATACTAGATAAGCATGTGTTAAGAGACTCTTAAAATGTGCAAAAAATCAATTTTCTTAATCATTATAATTTGTAGAAAGGACATGTGTCCGTGAATGGCACTTAAGGAAGTGAAGATTTGACATATATCTGATTAACTTATTATGTATTTCTGCTAGAACAGTTTAGTTAGCATAATCAAGTTTCAAATACCACCACATTATAAGTTTTTATATTTATCAGTAGCATCTAATAATCTGGTTTGGATTCCTACTTCTCTAGCTGAGTGACCAGCATCTTGTACAAAATAAAATTCTGCTTCTGGCCATTGCTAAAAAAAATGTCATAATTCAAATGAGTGGAGTAAATTTGAAATGTTCCCTGTCTAATTTCCTTGTTGAGATATACTGGAGGTCACAGATGGAATCACAGCTAACATGGCACCAATCGAAAGGTTAACATGGGAACAGAATACTCTTCATAATGGTATAAATTTAAATTATCACCCAATAATACATTCTACAGTAGATATCGCTTGTGTGATATATTTCATAATCTGCAGCGATATCTCCTTAGGAGATATCGTTTTACATGAATTTGATTGGTCAGTTGAAAAGGAACTACTTTTTTTATTTTCAAAGAACAGTTCATTTCTTATTAAAAGTAACATTTTTTTTTTTATTAAAAATGAACTATTGTTATTCAATTGACCTTGATGGAAACACTGGATCAATATAAAGGACTTTGCAAAGGTTGAATTGCTGTCAAAAAATGAAATCTACAGCAAAGAATTATATTTAATTATCTATTTGTGCATTTAAGAAAAGATTGGGTGATAAATAAAATCTCCTACTCGTCTTTTTTGATATCAAAAAATATCAACACTCGTTGATAAAGTAAAAAAAACTCGGCTGGGCCTTGTTTTTTGTTACTTTATCAACTTGTGTTCGATATTTTTTGATATCAAAAAAGACTGGTAATAGATTCTCTATTTGGCATTGTGTACTTGAAAAATAATGTACGGATGAGACAAGAATCCTCACTAACTAGCTAGGAATCTAGCAAACATAATTGTAATGATGCAACTGTCTCCAGGTTCCAAATATATATAAATGACAGCCACTCAAATTGATTTTTGGAAGATTTCTATATTCTCTCGTTCAAACACCACCCTTACTTTGCAAAAATTGTTAGTGATGTTTGGAATTTAATAGTAATGAAAAATGAATATATTGTAAATTACTTTGTTATGAGCGAAGTTATGAAAGGCGACCGTATCGGGTTTCACACACCCAATTCAAGTAACTTTGTATTGTATTCAGTTCAAATAAGCCATTTAATAAGAATATAAATCCGCGTACACTATTGTCAGTCCTTTTATCGGCAGTCTCATGAGTGAGGCCATGTATTTTTGAAAAATTTCGACTTTGCTACCACATGTCTAAATAATAATTCACATAACATTTGAAGCCAGAAAAATACCCTGCAAAATAGTCAAATTTAACTCTTGCACAATTCAATGATGCCTCTATTGGAATAGCTGTGATTATTGTCTATCTATTTTTAGAATACAGAAACAGGTGATGTATCTTTTTTTAATCCTAACTATAAAAGCCTTGTGAATATACATACCCTGTGTAGTTTCCATGCTGTTTCTGCTGGACAAACTATATCATATCTGCCTTGTATAATAGTACCAGGTATATGACGTATCTTATCAACATTTGCTAATAAATGACCATCTTTCATAAATCCACCATGTATAAAATAATGACTGAAAGATAAGATATTAAAACAGGGTTTGACACTAATAACAGCCAAGATTACATATGTCTGCTGTCTTCCGGGCTACAAAAATGTCATATTTTTATTAAATACAAAAAAATATATACCCTATGTTCAATACTAACTCACCCTATGCTAGCTTGATTCAGAATCAAGTCAGAAAAATATAATTTTCTGAATACAGAACTATAAAATAATATAAACCTATATTATATTAAAGGAAAGGATTTGGCAAAAAGAGTAGGATTTGTGACCAAACCATTACAAGTTTGATACCCTAATTTTCTAATTTTATGTCACGTTCTTGTGTCCTTGAATAAGACATTTCAGTCTATCCAGCTGTAAATGGGTACCAGTAAGATGGTGTATGCAATTACGCAAAATAAAACTTTTGCACTCTTTGGGCAACATAGGTTGTGGCTCTTTCTGAGAGTTCAGGGGTAAAGGGAGGTAATCAGGTTACCTGGATAGTAATTGTATCATGCTTTAAGCACAACTGCACAACCCGTGGCTATAGTGCATTATAAATATAGACACACATTATTATACCTGGTGAGCTATAAGTAAAGTTTCAGAAGAAAGTGCACGTTGGCATGACTTCCAACACAGTGTATCAGTAATTTGACTCCAACATCAGCATTATAATGAAACCCTAATGTTTCACAATGCATTAAACATACCATTCAATACGAGCAAACTGTAATGGCCAAACATCAAGTTCGGATCTTGCCATTAAATCTTGATTCATAAATAAATGAGATGTGGCTAATTCCCATCTACACCATGCTCTAGCTGCCTTTAATCTGACGTTCTCATCCTCACTCGTTAATCTTCGATAATATGCACTGCTGATATTATATCTTTCCTCCTTAAAAAAACCAAAATCATTCATGGATGGTTAACTAAACGGTGGAATTTTTCAAACACTGCGAGAAAATATTAATCATTCAATCATTATAGTGTCCCTATGTATGGAATTCATACACCCCTACTGAGTGAGCCAATGGGAATTCCCTACAACCAAGTCGGTAGGAAGTAAATCTAAACTCGAGACAAATGACAGAATAATGTAGGCGACCCCAGTTATAAGAACAATCACACAGCACACCACATATTGACATCCCTGCTTCACGAGTTTGAGTCACCATCACCATGTCAAGGTTTAATATTATTCTACTGACACTATGACGGTATTACATCCGGGCTTCCACTCCAAAATTTGTATGTATTGTATGGAACAGAAACTTTGCAAATTAAATTCATATTTCATGTTTTTATTTATGGTACAAAATATCATAAATTCATTCATGTGTCTACAACTTTGTCGGTATGGTGTGCAAAAATAATTGATATATTGAACTAAGACGTAAAATTTTAGTATAATAATTACCGGGTTTTTATTAATATGTCTTATTATCAAAATGTCTTCTTTGGAAAAAGAGCTTATTATGGTCGTAGCATAATAATTACACGTACCTGACTTTTCTACATCAAACAAGGACAACTTGAACGGTAATTTGATAAACAAACATTAACAACTACCAGTAATGAATGCTAACCACAGTAAAGAAAGAATATTCTAATAACTGCCAATAAACATGTATAGATACCTCTGGTATAACTTCAATATATTTTTCCCATTCATCAGGATATATCATACAAGCTCCACCATCTTCATAAAGCCAATCTAATTCTCGTCTATAATAAATCATTAAAGTTTGTAATAAATCATATACATCTAAAGATGTCTGGTCAGTGAGAGCCTTGTTACAGCCATTTACTGCCTACCTTTCACCCTACATATGGAAAATATACCAAGATGAATGAGTTTTTAATTACAATTCAAAGTCAGTGCAGAAAAAGTTTTTAATAAATAAATGTTTATGGTTACCTTGATAATGTAAAAATTCCACGTAAAATAAGAGCTTTGACTCTATCTGGATGAGTTTCAGCATAAGCTAATGACAGAGTTGAACCCCAGCTACCTCCAAATACCACCCATTTCTCTATACCAAGATGTTTTCTTAATTTCTCGATATCTTCAACTAGATGCCAAGTTGTATTATCCTGATACAAAAAATATCTGTGACTTATGCTTTATAACTCAGTTTTAGGAAAGAATATATTGATACCTGATATGGTTATCTCAACTCCATAGAGAGGCTTCTTCACTGCAACAGTCCTTTTTTATGAAAAAGAGGTCTTGTGCTACATAAATTTACCTTAGAGTGTCTAAAAATAAAACCAGGCTAATGAAGATGGGCATGCCAACTGTTAAGGGTTCTTTTATGTGCACACCAATAGTTACATGGGACAAGGCCCTCCAGCCTGCACCACTGACAACGTGAAACCATGCTGGAAAATCCAGATAAGCTTTCTCAGCAAACATTAAGATTGAATTCCGAATCTCCTGGTTAATGAGACAGTGACATACTTATTGAGCCACCATTGCTTCCCTTGCAATATCCTATGATATCCAATAAATTAAGGTAATTTACAATATCATTATATAAAATTTGTCAGAAGTGCATATACAATGTAATGTCAATTAGAGAATGAGAAAACTTCAGAATATTAAAAGTATTCAACGTCTTTGATTTGGATAAGAAATATTTATTTGATTCTGACCAGACTGGTTAAAACTTGACAAAGATCTTCTCTTCAGAGTTTTGTATTTATGAGGTCACAGGTGGAGTAATTATTCTTTGAGTGGAATAAGGTGAGTCTTACTGTTAGTTCAGCTGCTGGTGTTGATTGTCCTGAACCTCGCTGATCCAAGAGAATGATTCTATAAATTTCAGGGTCAAACAATCTTCTGTCATTCGGACTAGTTCCTCCACCAGGCCCACCATGACTGACAGTTAAAAAGAAAATAAAATCAATATTTCAAGACTAATTAACACTCGGAGCATGCAGTTTTGCTGTTTTAGGTTCAGTTAAAATTGGATGGTTTGATGTATTATTATCACATACCGTATATAGTAATAAGCAATCTTGATTTTAATCCTTTAAAGAGCACATAAAGTGACCAGAACTTACAGCCTGTGTTTATTATATACACTTACAGCAATTTAATTCAAATCCATCCATAATTAATTAAAACATCTTGACTCAAAGTTGCAAATATATATAGACTTCCTCTAAAAAACGACTTTACCAATTATCTAAAACACTCTTAATCCCCGCAAATGCCAGGGACGTCACAGTGATCAAATGCAATTAACCATGCTTATTCCTACCATCTACACAGTCGGGATGTGTAACTACTCATTAACACCTGACTGATTTTGTTTGGTCATTTTATGTGCTCTTATAAGTGGAATAAGTGCCTGTATGTTATAGTTCTGGTAAGCATATAAAGATTCATTCAGCTTTACTAACTCACTTAATTATCCCTTATAGTTCATTGGGATTTTGGTTGCTGAATGGTTAACATATGTGTGTTAGATAACAAGGTTAAATCAATTTTAAAAGCTCACTAGAGCTTATGTTGTACTGTTTGTTTTTATCGACTATAAATAAACATTACTTGAATTGACTTGTCGAGTCAAGTGGTTGTTATCAATTCCCCACTGTAGGCCTACATATGACAAGGACTGAAGGAGTAGAGTCACCTAGCTGACCAATGCATTAAAAATATTCTGAGTCCTCAAACGAATTATTGAAATGACCTATAGTTTGTTTGTGTCGAGTTGACGTTAAGCCCCTTTTCTCTCTCTCTATCCCTTATTTACATGGCAGGAATTTAAATTTCATTTCATTTATAAAGGAAACGACTAAAGTATAATAATTTCCCTTTTGCGTTATACTAATTATACTCACATGAAAATTACAGGATTTCCTGTTCGGTTTCCTGATTGTTCGTAATATAATTTATGTAGATCTGACACTGCTAAAATTCCACTATCATACGGTTCTATTTCTGGATACAGTTGTCTTGGTTCTACCGGTTCAGTCATACTTGTTTTATATATATATATATATATACCAACAGTTGTGTTAATTTCCACTGTCAATCGGTGAAGGATGTTGTCACGTGACAAGTCATGTGACTTCTATAAAATAAGCTCGCTTATGACTTCTGTAAATTTTGTATTTCCTATAAGCGAAGTGGCCAGTCAAAATCATAATATAAAGATGTCCTAATATATATTAAAAAACAATTTTACTAATATAATAATGGTTATTATCTATCATATCCATTGCGGATTTTATTTGTTAAGGTTATAAGCGAGTTGAAACAACAAAGTTCGTCTGCTACCGGCACCGCTTAAAATTAACAAAACAAAAAGTAGGTTTGATTGGAACGTGTGCTGCTTCTGGAAGACTTGCCACTGTTGACAAAGAGGGCAACTGTAAAACAAGCGCTAGAGCATGATAAAAAGATATACCGACTCTACTGTATGTCTTCATTGACTCAATTATAATAATACATTTTATCAGGCGTGCAAAAATCAAAAATGCAAAATCAGCAGAAGAGCGCTAGCCCCCCCCCCCCCCCCGCATGTTTAAGTTTGAGGTTAAGCCTCGCCCTCAAGCCAAGTTAAGCCAATGGCCCAAGTAAAGCCAAGGGCCCTTATACTTTATAAGTATAAGTATAGTAGGCTACTACTCTATCTACCGGTATCGATCGTACTAATATATAGTAGTAAGTCAGCCATAAAAATGATAAATATGCCATTATGATTATGGTAATATAGGCCTATAGTATAGATTAGATATGCCGATAATGATAACAGATAACTGCCAAATGACTTGATTGAATAAGCCTTGTAATAAATTCAACATAAATTTAATGATATAGTATAGAGTAATCAACATAGAGACAATGCAGAAAAATTAGAAAATGATATAGATTACACTTAAATTAATTTGGTCTATACAGGACTCCTGGCAGGAGCATGGATGAAATCAATACTAACTAAGATCTAAATGGGGAAAGCATGTTAAATTTATGAAAACTTGGTCATCTATAGTCCATCAAGAAGCTAATGACATGAGTCATTTTTAAGTACCGGTAGACCTGCGGTACCATAGATGAATCTTTGCATCATTTATTGTAGGATATAGACCATTGAAATTAGATAAAAAAAAATATTTAAATTTCATCAAATTTTCTGCTTCACATATTTTATTTTGATTGGTAGTTTGATCAGGTATCGGCCAATCACAACCTGAACATTACCGAACGTGACATAGGCCAAGATGAAGTGAATAAGAATAAGATTAATTTTAATTAAATATCAAAACATAAAATGACTCCACATAAATGAGATAATAATTAATTAATTTGCCTGACCCCAGCATTGAAATACCGGTAAAATATTTTATTTAAAAATTAAACTTTATATATTTCAGATTAAAGAAATAATCTATTGCAAATCATCCAGTAGTCTACAATTAAACGAATTATGAATAATACAGTTTCTAAAGTTATACATGAAGTATGGCTCCAAATAGTTCACAGGAATATGAATTTTACTAATCTCAATTCTTCAGATATCATCAACAATATTAATGGTCAGTACCAGAAGTAGTAAATTTTGATAATGAATTCCACCTTAAATTGCATTGTAGTGTCCTTATGAGTTCTCACAGGGTTCAGTTCCTACCATGGTGGTAGTGCTACCAGATTACTCAAAATGTATAGTTGGCTATATTACAAACAAAGGTCTAAAAGAGATCATGGAAGGAGAATGATTTTGGACTACAGTTCTGCTTTATTATATTTTTCAGTGAATGTAGAGAACTTTATAGAAGAATATAAGGATTATCTTATGGTTAGGCCTAAATGGCATTTCTGTGTTGTGTTAATACTATTCTTATTGTATATGACAAAATCAAATCAGTCAAGAAGAAAAAGGAGTAAGTGAACTTTTATTATCAGAAAATCTTTAAAAGATGTACCCTAAACATTTGAATTCAAGGTCAAAATCTGAAACTAAATTAATTGCTCAAAAGTATTGATGCAGTTATCCTCAATGTTTGTGTTTAGCTGATGGAGAGGGATAGAAATGGGGTTTAACGTCCACTCGACACAAACTAGGTCATTTCGGGACTAACATATTGTTTAATTTTATTTACCCGGAGAAAACCCACGAGGTTGGACAGGCGACCCTACTCCTTGCCACGTACAACCGGGAATTCGAAACCACGCCAGTCGACTCAATGACAGACTTTATGATACAGCGTGCGCACGCTAACCATTCAGCCATCCAACCCCCCCGTTTAGCCGATGGGGTTGGATAGCCAAATGGTTAGCACCTACGCGCTTTATATTTATAAGGTTGTAAGTGACAAGGAGTAGGGTCACCGGTCCATCCTCCGGTTTCCTCCCACTGCTAAAGAATTACTGAAATAGAATTGAACCATATGTTAGTCCCGAAATGAGCTAGTTTGGGTTAAACCCCATCTCTCTCTCTCTCTCTCTCTCTCTCTCTCTCTCTCTCGTGGTTAGCTGGTTTAAATGATCCCAATCTGATTTCTAAGAAATGCTGACAAGGTTGTTGATCACTAATATTTTCTTTTTTATTCAGAAAAGGTGAAACAAAATGTTTCAAATGAGTTTGATATCTTTGATCTTGCCAAGGTTAGTTACTGCAGTCACAATTTCCACTTTATAAGTTACTGGTGAATAAGGTCATAATTTAAACATCCTCTGTTTTCAAATCAGAATGAAGTTCATTGAAATTGAATGTCGCAATGCACTACTTAATGCATACATTTATACCTGTATCCAACATAACCAAAAATCATGCTTGAAGTGCTGCACATTATTACTAAGGTGAAGGTATGATCACCTGCCTTTACCTCTGAGCTTTTTCTGTTCACTCCAAGCATGCTGCCTATTAAGCACAACATGTTTTTGTGTAAGTACATATACAATTCATCCTACAACCACACCCATTTACAGCTGGGTAAACTGGAATACAGGAATAAGCTGTCTTAATCAATCAAAGGCTTAACACCCAGAGTGAGGATGGAACATGCAATGATTTGTGCACAGATCTAAGATTTATCCACTCCTCAGATCATTAGGATGTTGGGTGATTCCAATGGGGATATCTATTTTAGATTTTGTAAATGTGTTTTTGAATCAATAATAATTTATAACGCAATTCATTTGGTTTGATTGGTTTATTAATGAAATTACAAGTGATATACCTAAACCCTTTGCTGTCAATCTTTCTTTTGATCTATATCTCTCCATAGTGACCTACGGGTGTTGTTTACTATTGATCACAGATAATTACATTTTTTTAAGGCATCAGAGGAGAGACAATTCAATCACTTTTATCATTTTTTTCTTAGACAGGATATAAATCAGGTCACACAGAACTTGTAATAGATATGGTGGAAGCTACTGATTATGATGTTAACTATATTCCTCCATCAACTGGACTCTCTCTGTTTTTAGTAAGTTAAACACACCTGCCTGCTAAACTGCATTTTCTTGTCACTGCCACATACACAAATTTATTCCAGAAGTAGATATCGATCGAATTTCAGTTAAGCTACTGCAGATAATGACAATCTGATCAAGTTTAACAAGAACAACCTCGCAAACTCCTGTCATTGCGCAACGCAAGGGTCTTAATTCAGGACTAATATCATTTTATTCCAAAAAAAGTTGGTGTTGGCAGAGCAAAATCTTAAGAAATTTTAAGCATGGGGTAACAAAAAAATATTCCTAGTCATTTGAATGGTACAAAATGCACTTGTGCACGGAATTACTTACAGTTGATGTAAGAATTGGAATGGAATATAATTCCTCCTTGTTAGATTCCTCGCATTACACATGTAACCATCTATTTGATATCAGATGTAAAATTGTAAGACTAAAAAACCCATCTAACCCATTCCATACATTGTTTTTAAAAAACTTCATTTTTATTTTAGAGTATTTATTGCAATTAAATACAATTATATTATATTCAGTGTGCTTGTGTTAGTGGTCAAGAAAGATTAATAAGATATTTACTACGTAAAGGTGAGTTAGTGCTTTATTAAACAGAAAGGCAGTAACAAATTTTATAACTTAAATTTACAGCATTCCTTAGATTGTTCAGTGATGCAGTCTGTTTTAATAGTTTAATATTAATAATAAATGCAAATTTAAGAGAATCAATATTCAGATCAAGTTGAATGAATATTTGTCAATAGATGTTAAAAAGAGAATGTAACTAATGAGTAACATATGTTCTCAATATATAGTTTACATATCAATATCAATTTTACAATTATTGATATAAATACTTGTTTATCAGCTTTTTTAAATATCATAAATTACACTCATCATTTGTAGCCTATATTTAATTTCACTGCAGTGTCATGACCAGAAACCTTATAGTTTAATTTATCTGTGGAGAGAGAGAGAAATGGGGTTTAACCTCCATTCGACATAAACCAGGTCATGTCGGGACTAACGTATGGTTTTAATTTTATTTCAATAATTCGCTAGCGCGTAGGGGTCTAATCTTTAGCAGTGGGAGGAAACCGAAGGACCCGGAGAAAACCCACAAGGCTGGACAGACGACCCTACTCCTTGTCACGTACAACCGGGGCTTCAAAACCATGGCAGTTGACTCAATGACAGGCCTTAAGATACAGCGCCCACGTGCTAACCATTCGGCCTTCCAACCCTACATTTATCTGTGGACTATGTGATAGCAAATACACAATTATAATGATGATGCATTTTAAGAGAACAAGCGGTTGCCAAGCAAGATAAGCCCACATTTTGCTAGAGATGGATAGAGAACAAGCTAAAAAAAAAAGCAATTTTTAGTACAATCAGAGAGAGAGAGAGGGGGGGGGGGGGTAATGTCCACTCGACACAAACTACGTCATTTGGGGACTAACATATGGTTCAAGTTTATATCTTTGGGATATAAACATATATTATAAGTTTCATCGGACCAAAATTATAACCTCTAGCTAGACAATCCACAACCTTCATATTACATACTTTTACACTATTTGCGTACAAGGAGCGGGCATTTACCCGAAAATCGAACACAACTTTCATTACCGAACGGTGACATATTTGAACTGTTTTTAAAATCAGATAAAAATTGTGACCTCTAAAAGCTAAAAATGTGATTTTTCGTATTATCAGGGGCCATAATCCAAAAAGTTATGGTCTAATGTGCACGAATATCAAAAAGTACCGAGATCTTTGGGATATAAACATACATTTTAAGTTTCATCAAAATCAGATAAAAATGGTGACCTCTGGAGGGTCCACAACCTTGGTATTACATTCTTTTACACTATTTGCGTTGAAGGAGTGGCCATTTTGTTGGGCAGTTTTGGTCCGTTTTTTATGAAATTCAAACTCATCCTTCATCAGGGTGTAACAATGATATCTTTAAACGATTTTTAAAATTGGATAAAAATTGTGATCTCTAGAGGGACCACAAAATAAAATCGCAATTTTTTCATACGTTCAGGGACCATAATCCAGGAAGGAACCAAGATCTTTTTGATATAAACACATGTTTTAAGTTTGATCAAAATTGTGACCTCTAGGGTGTCCACAACCTTGATATTACATACTTGGACACTATTTGCGTATATGAAGCAGACATGTCCATCAGTTTCGGTCCGAATTCAACCGTCGTTATGGTGTAATGGTGATATATTCAAACGGGTGTTTAAATTGGTTAAAAGTTGTGACCTCTAGAGGAACCACTAGCTAAAAACGCGATTTTTCGTACAATCAGGGGGCATACTCCAGGAAGTTACGGTCGGTCCAAAATGTGCGAATATCAAAAGGAACTGAGATTTTTAGGTTATAAACATACATTTCAAGTTTCATCAAAATCGGATCGAATTGTGACCTCTAGAGTGTCCAAAAGCTAAAAACTTGATTTTTCGTACAATCAGGGACCATAATCCATGAAGTCACTGTTCATATATGCCAATATTAAAGGAACTGAGATCTTTGGGAGATAAACCTTATATTTCAAGTTAGGCCAAAATTGGATAAAGATAGGTTGCCAGGCAACAAAACATGCCAACAGCAGCTAAATCGTCCAGGCAGTGAACCAGAGTTGTCGCATATTTTTACTTTTGTCAGTAATGAAACATTTATAATACACTAAAATCTGATTAAGTATAACAACTCATTAAGTAATTATCAGAAAATCATTAGATTTGTTTGGCCCATTCTAACGTTTATTATACAAAACATTCAAAAATCATTGAAAATCAACAAACTTGTTTGTCTCAAGACCTTTAACTCTGTGTACCAATCTGAAGTCAATCGAAACGATGATATATAGGCATAAACACAGTGTATAAATCAATATAAAATCATGACCTGATGACCTTAAACACTGTAACTTTTAAAGTCAATCAGATCTTTAGCCTCAAGAGCGTTCACAAGATTTTTCAAAGTGATCAAGGGCCATAACTCTGGCAGTAATTATCCGAAATCGGTGAAAATCAATAGGCTTCTTTGTCTGACGACTTTAAACACTGTATCAATTTAAAGTCAATCGGATATTAACTTTAGCAATTGTCCGACGTCATAGGGTCAAAAGCCGCTTGTATGACTTCTGACTATCACTACAACCAGTCAGATCTTCATGTAGTGTAGGCCATCGAAAGTATAAAAAAAAACGAAACGAAATATAGATCTGTATTTTAATCAGATTGTTGAAAATGCTTTATCATTGACAGACAGTAAGCCATTCTTATGGGTAATTCTAGCCAGTATGCCTTGTAAATGATAAAATATAATCTGGTTACCCTGGATATTTTATTATCTTCAGTAATGTATCAAATAGATCAATACTATAATTTTCTCCATGTTATTAAAATCAGGTGTTTACCTCCGTAATATACATTTTACCAGACTAAATTCTACTTAATATCTGGCAAGTTTCATCAATGTGTCATATTTGGTTGAAAATGCAAATGTTCTTATCAAAGGGCTGCGGTAATGCTAATGGAATGTAATCATTACATGCTTTGAAGTAATGGTCATGTAATGAGTAATGGAAAATTTAAAAAGTAATAAGAACCGGTAATGGAAGATTTAAAAGGTAATAATTAATAGACAATTTCAAACAGACAGAAGCCTAACAATACTTTTATGATTGATGCTTTCAATTTTTTTTAGTTATAAAATAATAGTAGGTTTGATTTTGATATTGAAATGTAGGTGGTGATATCAATAACTATACAGAAGATGGTGATTCAGCTTTATATCTGGCTACATTTGGTGTTTTAAACTCAGAATTTCCAAATCCACAAGTTATAAAATTACTTCTTACAGCAGGTAACCTTTTGATTTCCTACTGGAATTGTGAAATCATGGTAGATTTTTATTCCAGTGTAATCTCCAATACAGACTGGACCTGTCCTCAGGATTTCGACTTATCGCTTGCAACTACAATATATGTATTAAGAAACAGATTTTTGAAGTGCATTTGATTGGTCTAAATCAAATTCTGTCTGTCTGTTTATTTTTGATGAAATTATTACATAAAATCTTTCTTTCTAGTTTAAACGATTCTGAATATTTGTTTAATTTTTGTTTAACAGCTATTTTTAAAAAATAATTCTAAAGGCCAAGGCTACTTTAGCTGAAAAAAACATTTGAACTGTTAACAATTTGCACAGACTTTGTATGCATCTAATGCCTATTTTTGTAATTTCTTTTTTTTTCCATTTCTTTAGAAGATGTCTAGAAGTAAAAATTTGAAATATTTATTTTCAAACATAATAATAGCGATAAAACCACAGTTTACAGATGTAAACTAAAATACTATGATGCTTTAACTTCTCAGCTCATACATAAATATTTTTTTTTATATTTAAAAAAAAAAAAAAGCATAAAGATTATTTATTGAATATAATAATAGTTATTTATCAACAGATCAATCATTAGTATGCAGTAAACACATTTTACAAAATTTAAACATAGCTAAATTAATATTAGTGTTATATCATGGGTTATATTTTCATTGTGTTGAATTTCAGGTTGTGAGGTAAATCAACAGAACAGAAAAGGTTTCACGCCACTTCATAGAGCCGCTAGTAAAGGCAATTTAGATATCATTAGATGCCTAGTACAACATGGTAAATATACCTTGTGTCAATTTTGTCATTTAAAGGTGCATGATGCCAAAACTCTTATTAGGATGTGATTTTCCATTTTCTTATGTCAATATTGATACCATTGCCTGCCTCAACAATATAATGTCAAACAACTCGCACTATCAAATAATCTTTGACTTAATTTAAAGTTTAAAATTCTTTGAAAGTTGAGTGCAATTCAATTTTAGTGAAATTAACGAAGAAATGAACACTATTCTGTCCTTTCGGTTTAATAAAGATACTTCTTTAATTAATTTTTCACATTTTGTTGCACAGCTTCCTAACATATATATTAATTTCATTTTCAGGAGCTAATCCAAATATCTGTAACAGTTCAGGAATCTATGCCTTAGATAGTGCTATCAATGCAGGTCAGTATTTATCTAGGTCCATTCTGATTTACAAATTATAAACAGGCTATTTACTAAATCTAAGATGACTCTAGGTGTTTTGCAAAGCTTAGACATGGAATATTTATATATTACTTTAAGAATAAAGTGAAAATATTAAGTTTAAATGTAGCAATATGCTAGAACATTTCCTTATAACTGGGGAGTTTCATTCCATTAATGTGGCACAGCATGAAAAAAAGTGAACCATGAGTCATGACCAAAGCAAGTAATAGGTATTAAGATTTCTGCTCTTATATTCTAAAAGTACATGTAAGTGAGCAGGGGATTTCTGGAACATTAAGGAACAAAAAAAGTGAGGGCCAAAATTTTGAACTCGATATGCCACTCAATAACGTTTTTGCTGGACAACCAACTTTGTTTTGTAGAGTCTGTAAATGTTCAGAAAAATTAAACAGGATAGAATTAAATAATGTATTTTAGATGTAACATCGAATTAATTACCAGTTAAAATCAAGTTGATTGCATTTTGAATCGGGAATTAAGTCTGGATTTGGCAATGATGTATCAAGGGAGATAATCCTTGCATAAAGTTTGATATGATTAGGAAATTTGAAGGAAATGTTCTGATTTGGCACTTTATATCATTAATATGTTTGTTTAACGATATATATGTCCCAAGAAAGAGAGTTTACAAAGTATAAATACACATCTGGAAATATTTCTTGTAGCACGGAAATAAAACATTCCAAGATAAATGTGTCAAGGGAGATAACTTTTTTTATAATTTAAAAAAAATATCAATGAGTATGTATTATACAGATAGAATTTTAATATTTTTCGATATTTCAAAATAGACTGTATATTATTTAAGATAAAGATTATATCACTTTTGTTATTTATTTATTTTATCAGGACATCTTGATGCTGCCAAGCTGCTAACTATCAACATAGAGAATCCACATGTATGGGATGTTGTTGAACCTCATACACCAACTCATATATCACTCGGCCTACAGAGCCCACAGAGAAAAATATTATTAGAATCATCTAGACCTTATCATAATAACAGTGTTAAAGTTTTTACATAGTTATATGTAATATTGTTAAATTCATCATCAATTTCTGTATCAGTAATAATATAATATTATGTCCTTTGAAAACAACCTCATAAAATAATCATAATGTTCCTCTTAAGAATTTGATAATTTCTTTTTCTTTTGATGTTATTTTATAAAAAAGCCAATGATCGTGATTTGAGGGATTTTAAATCCTATGCAAAGTGAAATATTTTGAAATTTGAATCTCTAAAATGAATACCAGTGCAACAATGGTTCATTTTCGTTGGGTATAATTTACAAAGATATGATGAATTGAAAAGCTGATATAAATAAGCCAGCAACAAATCCTGTAAGGGGCCTCTTTTTAAACCTATTGAATCCAAGTCGGGAAGTTACCTACGCTTGATATTTTAGTTTTGTTTTCTTCATTAAATAATCAATTTAACACGGATCAGTGACTTAAGATGTCTATTTTCTTTAAATATCATTGTTTGATTTGATGATGTTAAACACACCATTTGAACAAACATGTAGCTTTAGTCTTAGCTGATTATTTTTCATAATCCACTAGTAATGTCCATCATTTACTTTATAAGGTTAACTGTTCCAGATTTTTAACATTAACTCTGCTCTCTAGAAGATAGTAATAACCTTTTTTGTATAATATCACTTTGCTCAAAGAATTTTCATCAGTGCCACGAATAAATGGCTAAATGTTTTGGGTTTTTTATCATATGCCCTGACCCTGTATCAAAATTTGGGGCAACAACAATCTCATTTGTTTATAATGTTTTTTTAATTTTTTAATATAAAGATATTTGTAACTGAGTTTGTCTAAATTTCATTAATATCATCCCTTTTTGGCAAGCATTTTTTGCAGAAAGTCCAGGTATATTTTTTTCTGTGGTCCAGATGCAGGGATAAAATGTCCACCTGGATGTTGTAAAATAACAGGATCCAGATAGCATGGTAGTAGATCTTCACTCATATCTAAAACAGAAAATATATGCAAACAGTAGCCATTGAAACGAGCCAACAGTAATAAAGCTGCACCCATTTCTACAATATACATGTACTATAAGAAATAAATTAATGTGATCTATTTCTGTTCTATAATAGTTAAAAAATAGATGATGTAAAGAGAATAGTCTCGATTATACATTTTTATGGTGATTTCATCCACTAAATATCACAGGCTAACGATGGCATCGAGAGTTGATTATGCTCTTGCTATGTTAATTAATGTATAAATAATTATTTAGATATCATTTCAGGCCTAAAGAAAGACCTGGATTAGGCAGATTTAGTTCTTGCACAATGCATGTTTAAGGAACAAAATATATTATGGATTTGTTACTTTTGTAAGTTAGCAGCATCGTCAAACTTAACACTCCTCAAAGTAATAAAATAACCAACAGTGACTAATTAATTAATGTCAATGATAACAAAACAATGACACCTTAGAAAAGAGTTGGGTAACTTAGGTCACATATTATTTCAATTGCACATTTATTTGGATCCCTGTCCAGTCAGATGAATTTCATGACACATTAGTTTCTTATCTCATAGTATCATACAGCAATAAAAGCTCTTTTTCTAAAGTAAATGCCATCCGAACATCCTTTCATCACATATTTAATATCATTTATTTGTAAACGAATAAGTGAAAAATTTGGCTTCTAATTGTATTTCCAAAGTAAACCGTTTTGGCAAAGAAACTTTCATCTTGAACGGGACACAACAAATGAATGAAAAGTAAGCATGTCTCTTTACCTTTAGGAATAACTTTATCTGTGTCACCAAATACATGAAGTGTTGGAATTGTGACCTTTTTCTCATATAAATAAGCATGGGGAATTGAATGACTTTTAAAAGAAGCAACCATTATGGCAAATCCTATTTTAGGGCAAGACTCTGTAAAAAGAAAAATCAATTGACAATATATAAATATTTAAAAAAACAAGTTCAATTCAGTCTGAAACAACCCCATGGCATGGTTTCCAATAAGCTTAGTGAAGTGACTCAAGTTGCAGCTGATTCCCACTCATAAATGAAATGAAATGGGATTTCACATCCTGGTAAATACAGCAGATATTAAAATTAGCTATATTATGTTTCAGTTTCCTTACTTTAAGAATAAGGGGATTTAAGTTTAAGTAAAATAAATAATGTTTTTTAACCAATCCACGCTGTTTTAATCTGTGTCTGGATAAGTTGTGACGCATGAAATTGCAAGTCAAAATACAATATATTTATGCTTTCCCTACCTGGATCAGATTCCTGTAGTCCACAGAGTAAAGAAACCATAGCAGCTCCTTGACTAAATCCTAACACACCATCAAATGGACCCTGGATAGAACAGAAATCATTATAAACATAGGTTGTCAATATAAAATCTATGCACAATATATGCAACATCTCATCAATGACAATTCATTTGGGTATTTTCTTTGTTTGTAGCACTCAAGAGTCTTACAATTTTCCATGCAAACAGACATTAACTAAGGTTAAGGGTGTATTAAGTTAGAAAAGATTGAAAAAACATTTACCGGTACTTGGCTATTAAGCTAAAAAATAATGGTATCCATCTCAAATAAACCACCAAAAATAAGCTTTTTTTATTGTAAAATTGAAAAGAAAAATGTGTATTGCTTACTTGTTCTATAAAAGCTTGTTTAATAACATCCAGCGATTCTTCATACCCTTTACAACAATCAGTTTTATCTCGAGCCATGAAATAATCATCTTGTCTAGAAAACCACCAACCTCGCTGTTCTAAAATAAAATAAATAAAAAAACTAATTACTTTTGCAGTCACTATGACTTTTTTTTTAAATCAATGCATTTTCTGAAGCAAAAAATTTATCACAGCCAGCAAACAAACCTTTAACAGTTCTTTAGTTCTATTACTGTAGTGGCACATACTTTTTTAAATTAAGAATTTTGGCAATAAATATGGTATATCATCCTTACACATTCTAAAGAAAACTTAATAGAACATCCTTGTCAATTTTATTAAATTTTAATTTAAATTGTATATTATTGAACATACCATCATTTTGTTCATCTCCAGTCCCTGCTTCAGCTGAACTTTCTAATGGTGGAACTCTATTTGGAGCTGTTATGAACACTTAAATAAATATAGTACATTGTACATCAGTAGCTTGTAAACAAAGCACAATTATGAATGTACTATATATGAACCGACCATTGTGATCCACTGAAGTTCATCCATCAATAGGAAATAGCCCAAAGAACAAGACTGCTAAGTTTCTTTTTGATCGTATTCATTTTAGTGAAGCCTTAGGCTTTTCGGAAGAACATTGCCAGAAGAAGAACATGAAGTTTACCTAGTGATGACACCAGTTCCTGGTTCAAAAAGTAAACTTACAAGCTGTTAATGATGGAGTATAGAATGGCACTACTGTCTAATCTTATATGATCCAATTTTTTATATTGAACAATTGTTATAAATGAGAATTTTGTTGAAGACAAGGGTATTTCAACGCATGGGTATGAGTCAACACAATGTCGTATTCTTGCTAGTCACTGAGCTTACTCCTGATAAACATTCTAGGAAAAGTAAAGTAAAGAGCAAAATTGAAAGGTAGGGTACATGTATTTGAGAAAATAAGGTCTTAAACAATGAATACCTTATCAATAATAATTTAGTACCCTGTAATAAAATTTCTTACCCAACTCTGCATGTTTTTTAATAATTTTCCTGAATGCACCAGTTCTTTCACGAAAACTTTGTGCATTCTGTCTACAATTAAAGAAAAGAATGTTCTTTTACTGAAAGTATGCATGTTAGGTCCCCAATGACACCAAACATATTATTTTATTTTTGATAATACAATAGGGCATGATCATGCACTGGTACAAGATTTAATATAGATTCATTAATATCTTATAATGTAGTATTCAAGATGTATATTCCAACTGATTAATTACAGTTAGGTGATCTGCACACAGGTGGTGAGGAGTGTGACAGTGGTCTTTGAATGTGGATACTCAAAACTGTTGATAGTCATTACGGCTAAAATGTACTGAAATTGATTATTTAATGTTTAATTAAGAAAACAAACCCAAAACATCAACGACTGGTATCTCCAAGCCTGGATTCAATTCAATTAAAAAGAGGTTGCTTATATATACTTTTCAAAAAAGTAGGGGATGTTGAAATGCAAACACCTATGCAGGTTACGATATGATAAATAGTCATGGACATTTGACATGCTTTGAGAGTATGATCACAGATGAAGAACTTATCGCCCCAACAGAACCACTGGGCTGCACATGCGACACACAATAGCACCCACCATACACGTGGGAGGGGTTCATTGTCAAATTTGACACTTCAGTAAGGGTTGATGAAAACTGCCGCATGCTGGTTTATCTATTCATGTTTGCTTTCCTATCGGTTCTCGCATAAGATTTACTGTTTAGCATATCTTTGCTTTAGTGTGTTACGTTTAATTTGATCGGGAGACATGTTCGTCAACGTCAACATCAACCGACAACACTGCAAGAATTGGCCCAAATTGTGACTGGAGGGTTGATTAGGAGCACGCCACGACAAATTGCTGAATGTCTAAGGATTGGTGGAGCAATTACTCATTATTAAGACCAAAATCAAAAACGGCCATTTTCACCTTTGACAGTGTATCTCTTTGCGAGTGAAATGGGGCCGTCTGATAAGCCGCCCATATGAACTGTTTATGTTCTGTGTAGGCAATTGTGTAGGTTACCACTAATAAAAACAGCAGTGCATTTCCGCAGTTTTGTATTGTTTCTGAATATCCCCTGCTTTTTTTGAAGAGTATATAATGAATGTTGGGAAATTTTTAATTCATCATATTATGATTGTAAATAATGATTCTTTTTCTAGAGATTCAACTTTCACAACGACTAGACACTGTTCCTTGACAGGCCTTCCATCTTGCACCACTGATAAGGGGAACCCACACCGGAAAATCACTTCTTGACCAACACACGAAGCAAACCCTAGACCTCCTCGTTAGCAAGCCAGCATCTAATTTTAAGGGGTCCCTATGGCTCCATATAAAGGATATAAAAGGAGAACTATGCTAACTCTAGTCTTATAATCCTAATCACACTTGAATCGTACAGATATGTTTTAATTATCATGTCTTACCTGTACCCATGGATGCATAATATCTGAAAATAATTATAGTATGAACAGTATAAACAAAGTCAAATATGAGATCTACAAGCTTTTAAATATGATTCTCTATTGGTGATGTTACAATACCCTTAGCTAAAAGTACTTTAGAATACCAGTGTAGTTTTCTATATTTCTTTTTTTTTTCTTGTTTTTACATATAGTGCTTCCTGTAGGAAATTTTACTGTAATGTATATTAAGGAATATTGTGGTACTCTATAGTTTGGGAATAGGCTCGGGTCACTAGTTTTCGGTAGGAACCGGTACTATAGAATTCTATATACATTTTTTATTTAATTTTTTTTTTTTTTTGGGGGGGGGGGATTAAAGAAATATAGTTGACCATTGACTTCTTCTAAATTGATAAGCTTATTTTTTCTCTGAATTTGAATTCTGTTGCTGCCTGCTGGTCCACATAATTCTGCTGTATACTATTTAGTATTTATTAAATTGGTTTAAAGATACCTCTAAATTCTACAGAAAACAATGGACCTTAGAGATTTATAGAATGCTCATATGGTTCTCCACAAAATCTACAAAACAAAATATTTTTTCTAGAGAATTAGAATAACAAACTGTAGGATTACGCAACAGTGTTCAGGATACGGGTTAGTTCTATGACTATAGAAAACTAAGTTTTACAACCAATTAACTCTATAGCAGCACAATTAAATCTATAAGTTCATTGTTTCTATAGTTTTTTACAGTATTCTATAGAAAATTACACTTGGAAAAAACTCAACTACCATTCAATCCTATACAAAACTATACTATTGTATTTGTAAATTATTTCAGATTTGTAGTGTTGTGAACAAATCTACAGAATGATTTTTTTTCCTATAGTATATAGCATTCTATAGAATCCCACATAAGTCTATTGGAACCAACACCTTTTCCATTGGATTTTTCCATAAGGCAAGGGAATACCGGTGATACATGTATGTAGCCTACATTGTATTCAAAGGAAATATTTTGTTGTATATGGCCATGTCTTGCCTGATAACCTTTCTCTAATCTCTTATTAAAAAACCTAAATATCTACCAGTAAAAGTCATGTGTGACAAAACTTACCCTCAGTTTACCATCATCAGACATTATTTCTAAACACTAAAACAAAAGTAGGGGTTGTGGCGACTTCCTTGTTCAAGGGAGATAATTTGAAAGCGAGACAAACGGATACAGACTACAACTAATTCTTTTTTATTTCAACATTTTGGAATGATGAAACTGGTTTTCTTTTCACAATATCCATATCAAACATAAATGCTTGGCACACATCTGATAATAAATCGTGGGCAAATAAAAGGTGGCAGTTGACTGTCTATCTGTCCTCAGTGCACAAAAATTCATCCTTCAAATCTAGTCAATCCTAAATAAAGTGCAACTGAGTGTTAACTATTCGTAAACACTGATACTAATAAGACACAACCAAATCTGATATTATTCATAATTTATTCATTCCAAGAACATATTGCTTATATATATATACTGACAGCTTTTAATATTGTTCGTGTAGACTAATCTTTAAACACATTATATACATGAATTTATATTTATATGATCTGATGACCATGAATAAGATGATTTTATGTGTCTGACAATAATCGGTATTCAATATTATATAGAAATTTGATACCATAATAGGAAGGGGCTGAATTCATTTCTAGCTGCAAAGTCTTTACAGGGTTTAGTATAAGACTTTTTTCTCTACCACACAAATAGAAAAATATAATCATACACTGAAGAGGAATTTTTAAATTAAGTACATGTACATGCATAGAATATTGGAGTTCTTAATTTTATACCTTATCAATGTTAATTTGTAAAAAATAATCACAAACTTGAATGGCTGTATTTAACTTCAGGTAATACATTTATACACATTTCATTGTAGTAAAGGTTAAACAAGACAAAATTTATATACAATTATAATATTGGTGGAGAGCCAAAAAGTTGTACATGTATCTGGCATATTTTACAAAATTCACATTTTTCGCCATTTCAGAATCAAACTTTTCTTGTGGCATCTTTTCATTTAGAAGCCAATAAAAATAGGGTTTTATATATATTTTGTCAAGAGGTTGTACATTGTTTGTTCCCCCAAAATATCAATAATTAATAGCGAAAATATCAGATTTCTATGAAAAAATAACTACTAAAACAAACTGAAAGTTGCCAGTATTGTTTTATGGTTAGTTACATATCTGTTGAAATTATTGTCGACCCCATACTATGTATTATATATGAAATTCAAGTGGTAAAAGATACATCTCTACTTAATACAACCTTTTGACTATTCAGCAATATTATTAATATCACACTGCACCCTGTCTACCTACAAATATTAACACTCATATAATACACTCTAACCAAAATTTCTACACATTATACGATTTTATATTTATAAATTAAAAATGTTTTATTGGTTTAGGTAGAAAATTAAATTGTCTATTAAGATAAATTTGATATGTTGATTTCTTTTGCAATAGTAGTACTAGTAACCCCCCTTCTGCATACAATCTTGAAGTTTGTGAATAAGGAGATTTCAGCTTAAGTCAAAAATGAAAATATAATTAAACAAAGCTTTACCCTGGTATAGTACTATTTGAATTAACAGATCATATGGTATTCATTCAACAGTTTATTTTAATCTAAATCAAAAGGGTTATGTTTCTTTTTAAATATAATGAATAAAACAACATCCACCTGGGTCCCATTTCACAAAATATATGTTTAAGCTTTTTAACATACAGCTCTAATGAACATACTGTAGTATCTAATGTGTATGCTTTGTGTCACAGGTTCCCCAGTACATTCATATATAATGGGAAAATGAGTCTGTGTCCACTTATTAGTTTTATCATGGAAGTGTGCTATAAACAAAAACAATGATATAAAATATGATTTTAGATGAGTAAGATATCCACTGTACTTCATTCGATGGTTGAGAAATTTAGATATCTTTTAATAATTTACATAAGAGGCGTCTGTTACAGACATTGACGTACACATATCAGGCATTGTCAGACATGAACCCTCTGGTGCCTGTTATTTGGATCAGCATCAGTGTTTTTAATGATACTACATGTCTGACACAACTTAAGTCACTATTTTCAGGCCTGAACATCAGTTTTGGATGTTGAGATCTGACTAAAAGGAATTTTATGGTTTAAAATTCACTGATTTTAAAATGCACCATGGTTCCAACAACTTTCTACGAAAGTTACTCTCAAGTGAAACCATGCAAATGACAAAGATAAATTAACTGAAAGCCAACAGCAGCTGTTGTTGTATTCTGTAAGCATTCACCGACTTTTTCGGCATGTTTACATTGTTTCACTTAAGAATAGATTGAAACTATGTACATTAATACATTGTTAAAAGAAAGGTAATAAATTTGAAAGTTGATTTTTTTTTTGGAATTAACAAGTGAGCTAATATTTTAGAAGTCTAGATGTCAAGTGATATTATATATATTTCTATATAAAACAAACGAATCATGATTTTTCAAGTTGAGCTTGTAATTGTTTAATTTCAGCTTCTAAATCGCCTTTTCTAGCTACTTTATCTAATTCATCTTTAGATGGTTGTTTCAATTCACCACTTTTTATTTTATCTTCTAATTTTTCAGTTGATTTCAGTTTCTTTTGTAAGTTTTTCAATTTTCTAGAAATGTCTGTGTTAGGACCACTTTGATCAACAGTTTTTTTGGCAGGTTCATCAGTAACCTTAATACCATACACAGAAGCTAATAAGTCACCAACAGCATCATTATCTTCTTCCAATTTTTTATTACCACCCTTCTTTTGCCGATTTGCTTGTTTTCCTGTTGTTTCTCCAGCTTTTTTCTTGCCCTTCTTTTTATTACTGCCAACATCAGGTTGTTCAACATCATCTCCACGGGCCACAGCATCTTTGGCCGCTCGTGCCTTGAGCATTAAATCAGGACTTAATCCAACAGGAAGATCTGATCGACCTTTTAACCACTGCATTCCTTTGTTTTCATACCTGCAAAATTGAAAGAGTAAAATAGTGACAGATTGTTTGATAGTGATCTGGCTCAAACTTAAGAATATCAATTGAAAAGGATCTAGTTGCACAGAGAAAATTAGGATTCTTCGAGTGTAAACCAATTCTATTTTTCAACATCTGAATAACATATGGCTGATATCAGGTATATTTACGGGCTGTTAGTTTTGACAATTATCTCGGAATCTATAGAAATCATATAGAAACAAAGAGAGAGAGAAAGTATTTCAGGATCAACTCATGGTTCAATTTTATTTCAATAATTCGCTCAGATCTTAAGCAGTTGGAGCAAACAGGAGTATGTACCCAGAGAAAACCCAAAAGGGTTGTGAGACATTATTACCAAAAGTGACTTGGTTAGACCATTAGGTCAGCCAAACCTCCATTTTGCAACAATAAGTGCTTCTTTTGTATGTTATACTACATAAGAACAAAAATGAATTGAATGAAATTATTTAGGCAATTATGAATAAAATAATTTCAGGGTGTGTAGGGTGATGATGCAGGCAACACAAATACGTACACTGGCACCTCTTCTTGAGGAACATATCCTGCTTTTACTCTTCTAGCTTTACGAATTGAACCATCAGGCCTTCTAGATTCAGGCAGAAATGTTTCACCTAGAATATAAATCATATCACATGGATTATCCAGAAACATGATGGAATAGAATTGGATTTAATATCATCGTCAACGCATATGGCATGCCAGAGAGTACATGGGTGAAGACTTTCCTTGTCAGCTTTGTAACAATAAATGACACAATATAAGTCAGTCGTGTGTTGAATTCAATGTCCTATCACTATTACAAATTCCTTTTGAATGCACATGCAAGAGCCTAAGTGAAATTTTAGGCTTAACTAACCGGGCACAGTATATATTTAATCGACTACAAGCTTTATAAAACTCAACTGTAAAATTATTCAACAATATTAATAGGCAACAAATTTCACAACAGTCTACAAGAACCCACACAAATGGAAGAATGGAATTGGAATACAAAATAACAATATTATTATTAATACTAGGTACTATTTTTGGGGACTACATCAGGTTTAAATAAAACAGGGATCAGGCCTAAGTCTCAACCCACATAAAGCTATTATTATTATTGTAATGTCTTTGATTGTAAAATCATGGGTCCCATCATAAGGTCCATGAAAAAATTTCACGTCAATATTCAGTCAATTCAGTGTTTCTGAAAATGTGTTAGTGTTATGTCACGGTATTTTGAGTGGGAGACAGTTGTAATATCCCTTTCTGATATACTCTAATTTGTTCATACATGGATTGAAAAAATAACTGCATTAATTTACAGTCGATATACACAATCATTGCAAATTATACCTGTGACCCCATCTTTCACAACGCCACTTCTCTCGATAGCTTTAGCAGCAGTAGCCATGTTGGAACTGGATTAGGGGTAGACAACTCCGATGTGACCAAAGCTAATTTGAGTGTGTGTGAGAGAGAGAGAGAGAGAGAGAAATAGGGTTTAACGTCCACTCGACACAACCATTTCATTTCGGGACTAACATATGGTTTAATTTTATTTCAATAATTCGCTTGCGCATAGGGGTCTTTAGCAGTGGGAGGAAACCGGAGGACCCGGAGAAAACCCACGAGGTTGGAGTTGGAGCTAATTTGAGTACCATAGTTTAATAAGCTCAGTTATTGTTCGGACCATTATTTTGCGCTGATTTATTTTCTCAAAAAAATTTACTATTATTATTATAAGCTATTGGCGTGTTTGTGAAATAATATCAATGGACATTCTCATTGCTTGGAAATCGATTTGAAAGTCACATTAAGCAGACAATGGCACTAGTCTAAAAAAAAAAGAGTTGCGTCCCTTATACCATTCAAAGAGTAGGCGAAGCAAGACGCTTTGTTTTTTGAACCAGGAACTGGTTCCATACACTTGGTAGACCAATCATGGGGCGACGCTCTAAAAGAAAGTCTAAGGCTCGGAAAATTTGGTGCATGAAAGTTGGCATGCTCGTTCATTGGACATGTTAAAAATGGGTGTAATTAAAAACTATAAGCAGTGTTAATTAAGTGTAAAGTTTACACAACAGCTAGCGTTTTTTTAATGTAATACGACGTAGCCTACTATACATTTCCAAGAGTAACCAACTAAAAGAACTACACCTCGGTGGAAGCGGACGTAAAATACAACTAACTAACAACAACAAGTGTAAACGATATTCATGACTACTGAACACCTGAATAGGTGTAATTGTGGGGTGTTTTGGATTTATAGCTACACCACTAAGTGTTACACCGGTAGGCCTACTGCAACACCAAAGGGTGTTACTATTATTGGGGAATAAATCATAGAACAGCGTTAATGTTTACAGCGTTTTATTGGGTTGCAAAGGTGTATTCATGAGTACTGACAAGCGCTGAAATAAGCGTCCGGACACGGACAATGTCCGGGCGAATTGACCCCTTTTGACAGGCCAAATTGCCTTTCGTCCGGACATAATTGTCCGACCGTGTTTTTGTAAAACATTAAGTCAAAAATATTCAAGTCGATCGCTATTTATTATTAAGACTCGAAAGTCCAGGACCAAAAATATCAATGACCCGAGTCATAGTGAAAATGTTACTATTTATATCTCGGCCGCGTGCAGATAAAATCTTCAATAAGTTTTAGAATCGACTCTTTTACGCTGGTTATATCAACGACCCGAGTCACAGTAAAAATATTACTATTTACACATGTATCTCTCTCGGCCGCGTGAAGATAAAATAATGAATAATATTGAGAATCGGTTCTTTTACACTGGTTATTCGAGTCTCGTAGCTAGCTTTGCGTTACTTTCGTATATATGATTAGCTCTAAATCACACCTAACATGACATGTAATTATATAAATTATTAGTAATAAAAGTAATAATATTTTAAAATTAGTTTACAAGAAAATGTTCAAGTTGACTATGGATGTAATTAGGAACAGACTTTTTATACGAAAATATCTCACTTTGTTGGACACTTCCGATGTGAATGTAAATAGAAGAGCCGTGAAAACATGTCGAATAAAATAACTTCTTACTTTTCCCAACCCTCGAACACGGATATCCCGGCTAGTGGGACCGTTCCAGAAAATTCAAAGACTGGTACTGTGTCTTATGTCTCTCATTAAGACACTTCTAAACGGGGGCCGTCGCCGTTACCAGTTCGAAAATTACAAACACGAACCGTAGACTAGAAAAGTGGATCAAAAATGACTTGGCAGATTCTGAACCATTTACGACAACTCAAGATGTCTATTCTTTAGTTAAATTTGAATCTTAATCCCCAGCCCCACCTAAGAGATTAATGACATTATTATATGAACTATAAAGTTGTATTCCATATACATATAAAAACTCCAGGTTGTATGTGAGTCATCAATTTATTTTATTAATAAATGTATGTATAATAATATATATAAACATAGTAAATTTCAACAGTTTTTTGGTTTAATATACTTTATAAAGTATTTGTCAGGCTGAAAATCTGAAATGTCCTGCCGAAAATCAGTTCAGCCTGACATGATGTCAGGCTGAAACTTGGCAGTTATTTCAAGGCTTGAGTACTGATGAGCACAAGGATAGGTGTAGCTGTAACCGCTAAAGTGTGATTGGGATGAGCTACCCCTCTGCACGAGTTTTATTGCATTTACAGGTGTAATTATTTTTTTGGGTAAAATATGGCGTTTCTTGCACTGGTAACACAACTATAACTCATTTTAGAGTGTTTACTCATAACGAGTAAAGTATAGATTATTTTAGCTTGTATACGCTTAAATGCGTGTAAATGTTCCAAAATATTACTAAGTCTACAATATCTTAATTGATAATTCTTAATTCAGGTGAGTTGCATAAATGAATAAACCACATTATTCAGATAAGTTATAACGATATGTGTATTGATTTTGCCTCATGATTTATTTTCATTGTAAATTGAGACAGATTGTCTAATTGCCCAACAGCAGTTGAATTTGAATCAGTCTGATGGGTATTTGTTAATTTAATGTCGTTGTAAAATGAAGCGAAGTAACTGACGGTCTATATGTGATCTGGGTCGGGCTAAACGCCCTATACTAATTAGCATAGAGACCGATAGCCAATTTCAGTTTTTCTGAACTTACAAGTCGTTGACTTGAAATAAATATCCAACAAAACATTTATACCCGCGTTGGTGTAACTGTTAAAATGGAAGTGTAATTTACAAAACACCCTTGATGGGTAATTCTTAATCTACACCCACCGGTGTAAACTATTTATGTGTAACATTACACTGTCTGAGTGCATCAGACAGGTTAAACTACTGGAAGTGGCAACTAGTTTCAACCTGAATTGGTATAATGTTCTACACTAGTTGGGTGTTATCGGTTTACACCAGTAAAGGCTAGGAGTTACTCCACCCGAATTGGTTGGTGTAAACTATCTTATTATTTTTAACTGTGTAGTGTGGATGACCTGGCAAGGACAGTGTTGAGTCGTTCGGATTTATTAAACATACATTATGCAAGAGCTAAATCTGTCTATTGCAGGTCTTTCTTTAGACCTGAAATGTTATCTAAATTATTGATTAGACATTAATTAACTTATCCAGACCATATTCAACTCTAGATGACATCGCTAGCCTGCGATCTTAAGTGGATTGTAAGCCGATTTACTGCATAACTTTCCTTCTCGATTAAACGATTAATTGGATAATCGAGACTATGCTGTTTATCGTACTGACTTTAGTAATGATGACCGAGGCTAGGCAGAAATTTCATTCACTTCGTTCTCGGTTCATAGTGGATCAATTTGAATGAAATTTTCAGCAAATTACCTTTACATTATATAGTTTTTAACTATTATAGCGAGAACTGCCAACTCATTATCGAATCTCCCATAATGTATCTTTAATTATTGGATAATTAATATCTAGCCTACAGAACATACTATATAGTATTTTGTGTAGATTCTAGCTTTTTGTTGGAAATTCTACACTTTGGATACGTATAGAGATTCTGTATGGATTGGTAGGCTATTTGGCCAATTGTGTTACCGGTTTCCTGTATGCAAATGACTGTGTCGATCAAGATCAGATAGCCTACATGCCAAGTTTTATTAAAATGTATTCTCTAGAAGTAGATTCGCTGCGTTTCAAGTGTTCAAGCCATTTAATCGCATTATAGGCTATCTGCCCGAGTTCTGTCCCTGTGTAAATTCCTGGGAACGTCGTTTAGTTTACACTCAACCAAAAATAATATAAAATTTTACATTATGCTTTTTACAGTGCATGCGTCCCTGTGTCCGCAATTACTATCATTAATTAAACAGGAAATGAAATACATCTCATGTATATTACTTCCTGGAAATCTAATTATAGGAAATAGTTAAATGTAGTTCAGGAGAGATTGATGGTGAGAAAGAACTGGGTACTTACCTTATCATTCATTATAAGGCTTCGTAATTTGTGGTTTATAAGAGGCACAGTAAAATCCAAGAGTCTATAGATACAGATAAAATCAAGTAGGAAACTCAAATCTGTAAAGACCCAGTGAAGTTGCCAAAGAGGAAATCTCCTAATCTGGCAACTAAAGAAATGTCTAAATTTAGAGAAACATAAATGATTATAGAAATGTTGGTATTCTCCCATTAACAATGATGTCAGACTCGATCGCCATTTACGAACTATTAATTCCATCATTCTGAAGTACGCCTCATTGATTTCGGGCGTTGTGTATCTTTGGATATAATTTGTATATCACTTAGATGTGGAACACAAAAGGGTTGTAAATGGCGATGGGGGATTCATGGCGATTGTTTTCCATAGTAAAATGCTGTGGCCTTTTGTTCGCTGAAAACATATTCGGAATTACTACAATCCCATGCAAATTCTACTTTGTTCTGCACCTCGTTCAGAAACTTGAAAAATTTAAACCTAACTGATCCGACATAGATCCTTGTAACACGCCAAACAAAAAGCCACATTGTTTAAATATTCCCATTAAACATTAACAGAACACAGTTTTTATGGGATACAATCACTAGTTTATTCTAAAAGCACGACGTTTCGACAAGTATCCTCTTATCGTTATCAAACACAAAAAAAAAAAAAAAAATAGCCGTATTGGGGGTTTTTTGTGCTTGATAACGAAAAGAGGATAAATGCCACTAAAAGAATATTCCCATTAAAGAAATGGTCTATTATATTTGTATTTTCACCGCGCTACGATTGGATACGATTAGTACTTTGCCGCGGACTGAAACTAACCTCGTGTAGTATACCCCCCCCCCCCCCCATATTGCTTTTCAAACATGCAAAAGCCACCCCAATATTGATATCCACGTTTTAGAATAAACCCAGAATGTCTTGTTCATAGGATCCACTTATCGAGAAACCAAATCTTTCACCTAGAACGAAAATCACAATTGTTATGATCCATGGATTTTATTGAAATATAAATAAACACTCTCTGGATTGGACTCGTAAATGGAGTGCATCGCTTAGTCAATAACATTTATTTGTGTGTCTTTAAATTATGATTAAGTGTTAACGTTCTATTCAGACCAATCCATATATATCGTTTAATGGACTAAGTCTGTTATCTGAAGCTCTCCAAATTCATTAGTTTTCGATATTATAAGAAACAGGATATTTACATTTCTGAAAATTATGAAGGAGTCGCCATGCAAATGCAAACATAACCTGGACACAATTTCCGCCTGAACCCCAGCTGCCGGGTTCTTTTACATGCGTGTCGACGTCTACACAGGATCGTGGCCTTTGGTCTAATCAGAACAACCAACCATAGACGCCGTTCCTTGCCAGCCCGTCGGGATCGAACCCATGACCTCAAGGTTAGTGAGCCAGCACCTTACCGAGCACAGAAAATCATATAAATAACATTATATACTATAATATTTTTTTTAAAAATACCGATATCGCGTAATCCATTTAAGCCTTTTAGTTACAAGAATATCCCATCTTTGTAAATTCTCTGGACCATGGCAAAATCTAAAATTAGCGCATCCTAAGATTTGCCTAATCCGAGCAAGGACCTTCTGCTATAGTAATGTAGGCTGTTTAACTTAACTGCACAGTCAAATCTCCCGACTTCCCATTTCAACAGGTGGGCTCCTGCGTCTACCTCTTTAAATATTGCAAGGAAAAAAGTCAAAGCGATGAGGATTTCTGTCAAACAATGTCAAACGTACGAAATCGGCGTAAGATGAAGTGTGGTACTTTTTCGATGGATAATCTACCGCTGATGATAACTCGGTCTGTGGATGACAGATGCTTTTTGGTGTGTGTGAACCTTAATATATCTACATTGTTATTGTGTTATACAGTTATTATATAACCTATACACGAGTCTATTTATATACCAATATATTTTCCGAGAAATCTATTTTCGGTTTCAGTAGCCCAACGCGCAGAAGATATATAAGTGAGTTGACCCACCTAGTAACATTCATCTGTGTAGCTGTTGTGATGGTGGTTGACAGCCAACACAATAAGGTTAGTCAGAACAATACGGCTATGCTTTATTGTAAATATTTCTGAAACTTTGATTAAAATATTTATGAGCTAGCAAAGATTTAAGTACAAAAGGTTTGGTAAGTAGTAGATATAGGATCGGGACGTACCCCAACACGCAACTCTTTGTGCTTTTGGGGACACCACTATATAAGGGTGCAGTTCACATTAACACCAAAATTGTTTTTTTTTAACACATCTCGGGTACATCCACGAAACCAAAACGATGCCAAAATGTTCCTAAGGATTCCCAATGACAACATAAATCCTTCTGAGTAGGTCACAATTGGTCGGTTACGCCCAATCTATCTAAAATGCAAACCTCAGTGCAAGCTTGCGACCCCCTGTGGCAACACCGACCCTTCTTAAATGCATATCTCAGTACTATATCTTCAGTGCAAGCACAAAACGTGCATCAAACTGTTCCCTGGGGAAATATAAATCCTCCTGAGTAGACAATTTTCGGTATTAACCTACTTCTGAGTAAGCCAAGGGTCACCATTTGTCGGCGCACACCCAGTCTACGTTAAATGCACAGTTCAGCACATACCTCCAGCGCAAGCACAAAATAGGTACCAAACTGTTCCATGCGACCCACTGGGAAAATAAATTCCACCCAAGTAGTCAATTTTGGAGATTAACCCACTTTTGAGTAGGTCAAAGGGTACCACGACCAATCCACCAGGACATGCATAAAATAGGTATATAACTGTTACTTACGATCCCCCGGGGCAATATGAATCCTCCTGTGTAGTCAGTTTTGGGAATTATCCAACATTGAGTAGTTCAAAGTCTGGCATTGACCGACAACGCCTATTTAACTTTAAACATCTTAGTACATACCTTCAGTGCAAGCATACAACAGGTACAAAAACGTTCCTTGGTGGCTAGGTGGGTAAGGCGCTGGCTCGCTAGCCTGGAGGTCGGGTGTTCGATCCTTGCATTGGCCGAGAAAGTTCATCCCGATTTTCCGACGTGGTTTTCCCTTGTCAGTGATGCAGAACGGAGGGCCTGACAAGGACAGCTGTCCAGTCCTTCGGATGAGACGAAAAACCGAGGTCCCGTGTAAACATTGGAATGCACGTAAAAGATCCCCTGGCAGTTGGAATTCGATATAAGAGTAAGCGATAGTGCCGCTGCCCGGGCAAAATTTCCCTCATAGCACACTGTATGGCGTATGCCCGTCTTCATTAGCCCAGTATAGGAGCAGAACAGTAGGACGTTAAACCCCATTTCATTTCATTTCACGTTCCTTGGGATCCCTGGGGCAACATGAATCCTTCTGAATAGTTAATTATAGCGATTAGCCCATTTCTGGGTAAGTCACAGGTTACCATTGGCCGGACACGCCAAATCCACCTTAAATGCATACCTCAGTATCTGCCTTCAGTACAAGCACGATCCTCCTGATTAATCAATGTCGGGGATCAACCCACGTCTGAGTAGGCCAAAGGGTACCATTGATCGACAACGTCCAATAAATTCATATCCCAGTACATACCTTATTCAGTACAAACACACAATAGGTATCAAACTGTTCCTTGCGATTACCTCCATTCTGAGTAGGCGAAAGATTATATTGGGTTGGTTCTGTCAAGTTCTCAATTTAGAGGATTAATAAGCCCGACGCTTCTATGTTCTGTTGGCATTGCAGCAGAAACAAAGATCTTGTATACTGAGATTTAGTCCCCAATTACAGAATTGCAAAATGACAAAAGCCCGAGGCAGGAATTGAGAAATACCGTAGACTTGTTTGTCACCTGTATGTTGCAGGTGCATGAAATGTGAATTGTGTAACCCATGGTAAACTTTGGCCTAATCAGTACTGGGTTAATCTCTAAAACTGATAACTCAGAAGAATTCATATTGATGTAAATGTTCATTAGGTGAATGTCTTGACTGAGTTCAATGGTTAACATTTCCCACTAAAGTTAAGCGGGCTAAGCAATTTCATTGGTTGATGGTTTGGGACAAGATAACTTTGATTCTATTTGATAGAGAGTGATGAAATTTAGTGTGTAGTTGATAATCAGTTTAATTGCTTGATACTTTTGAAAAAAAATAAATGTACGATTAATTAATATGTGTCATCTATTTATTTTGGGATTTTGGCGGGGGACATCAGCCTCACTGTTGGCTTGTTCGTTTAATCATCAACGGAAGTTGAACAGCAGATCAGATTAAAATCCAATGAAAATCGGACAGATAAGATGGTATCGAGAGTTGATTATGTCTTTATAAGTTAATAAATGTCTCATTAATAGTTTAACGTTAACGTTAAGAAAGACCTTCAATAGGTACACTTTCCTTTTGCATAATGCATGTTTAATTACCTAACCAAATATTTTATTTTTAAATTTTAGACACTGTTATCAAGCAGGACTCAAGGGAAATGGCTAATGCCAACTTATGGATCTATAACGTTGATTTTATATACTGGAGTTTCAACTTTATTCTTTTCAACTTAAAGAAGTTTTTCAGAAAAAGAATTAAAACGTTAATATTCATCTTTATGATACCACCGTTTTTCATAAATATAAACAATGTTACTTTTGAATTTCTTCAACACGTATTCGTGGGTTTCACAACGAAATTGAATGATAGCGTTCTCCATTATGAGACTGACTGCAGAACTTTGTTTGCCAGACAACCCCATCCTCTAACAGATGGCAAGCATGCGCCGTACACACTAGAGAATCAAACACGTTACATCGGTGAGGATGCCAGATTTAATTGTAAACAGGTAATCATTGGATTCAACACATCGAAACCTCATATTAACCAAGTTATATGGCATAAAGACGGCAAGTTCCTTAAGCCAGACGATAGACACATAATAACATGGACATTTAAAACAATGAAGAAAAGCCAGATTCTGCAAGATACAAATATACAATTATTTAAAGTAACCAGTACCTTAAAAATATTGATGATAAATGAAGACGATTTCGGTACTTACAATTGCCAGGTTTCTCAAAGAACAAATTTTGATCTCCCAAAAGGGGATAAAAAGACTGAAGCTCCCCATGAACACAATTTACAAAATGGCCGAAGGGAATGTGCATGTGACTTTTCACCGGCAAAAACAGAAGAGGAAATAAGTTTAGAGGACATTGAATTACAATTCTATTCAGTAAATATGTTTACTTGGAATTCTGAATTCCGTCTGATCAAAGAACTACCTCGCATTAAAACCACGTTCGTAGCTCCTGGTACATTATTTTCCTTTGCGACATATTATAGACACTTGGGCAATACCGATGATATCTCTATGTATTATACTATAAATGGCAAAGAACTAGTTTTCAAAGATTCAAAATGTTCCAAATTTATATTGTTGTATTATGGGTTGTTTGAGAGCCGTATTGTTCAATCTTTCAATTTATTTGCATATTTACCGAAAGTAGCAGAACTAGTACATAAAGCTGGACTCTGGAATGGATCGATTTCATTATTACAACACTGCGTAACACCAAATTCATATGGTATACATGACATTGTAATTTTAAGAAAAGTTTTCAATGAACGTGACAACACGTATGACGTTAGAGAATTTAATCACCCACTCAAGTTAGATATCAAACCGAAAGAATCTGATTTATTTGATTTCCCGACTTATGAGACGAATTCGACTGTTAACATTGATGCTGATTGTTGGAATGCGGAGAAGAATTCACAGTCCTCGAGTTGTATTTTACTATACCGATTTGTTGAAAGGATTGCAAGTGATTTACATTTCCACGACAACGTGTATTTTGGACTGGCATTTATAGCCTTGGGTATTTTTTGGTACACCGTGTACAGGTCTGGAAAAGCTATAGTAAATGAAATGCTAGTAGTTACGTCTTCCAAGCATGTTAAACCCATACATACACTTGCTAGCATACCAAACGACGACATTGATAAAAGAAAATACCACATATTTATTTCCTATAGCGAGGATGAAGAAGAACGGGCTCGCATGACTGCTTCCCACCTTGAAGAACGAGGCCTTAAAGTGTTTGTGCCAAACCGGGACATACCACTTGGCCGACATAAACTATCCGAAATTGGGAAAGCAATTAGTCAAAGTGTTGCGGTGATCGTTATAGCCAGCAACGGATACGTTGAAAATATTGAAACGAATGAATTTGAAATGAACATGATTTTACAGAAGGTAAAGAAAAACAATCTTCTGGTATTCAGAGTAGACGAATGCGTAGTGGCCGACATATTTAATGATAAATATGTTATGATAGATATAATAAATGATACTCTTAATGAGCAGACGAAAAAAATTTCAAAATGGTTTAATATGAACTTTACTTCACCACAAGTACCTTTTAAACTGATAATGTCTGTTTTAATATACATGGTGGTAACACTAATTGGACTTTATTATAACATTAAAACAATTATATTTTTGATATATTCTAAATAAATTTTATCACCAAATTATTGGAAGGGTTTGAATAATATAGTGACGCATGTTGGTTGATTGTGTGTTTTACTTGCTGGTAGGCTTACCAGTCAAATCGATTTCTTCCCTACCCGTGAAAGAATCGTGGCACCCTGCTAAACCGCTCAACACCAGGGCTAAGTGAAGGCGACGCAGTAAAGCGTTTGGCGTATTTTTTTGTGTTATTGTGCCCCCTCTCAAATGGAAAACATGTGGTTTCAATGCAGTTTTCAACACTATAATCATAATGCTCAGCTTGTGTCAAACATATACCGTGACTCAGATAAGCTACAAATTCGTATAAACTGACACACAAGCCCAAATTTATCCGCGCTATGGGAAGGGAACCCATCTAAATTGTTATTGGGCTGTATGCACTCACTGGTTCTTGCTTCTCACGTAGAATTATTGGTCGCCAATGTTAGTCACGGAATAGCCTAGTTTGTGCTTGGTAGATGTTTCTCTCGTCAAGACAATATTTCAGTAATTTTAACATATTTTATGGTAATTGTCGAAGGGGGGGGGGGGGGCAATTTTACCCCCATAGCGGCGTTACCGCCTGCATGTTTTTTCTACGAATTCCTGCAACCAACGAATCTTTTACGTAGACTTCTATTTTGTAAACGGAACTTCGGATTTTGGTTCTAAAAATGTCCTTATCAACCCCAAACTTTATCTGTTCATTTCAATCCGCAAATGTTAATGTAATCACTGATGGTCAAAGGCAGTGCCAACGTGTCAAGTTTATTAATGCATTGATTTCTTGCTTTGCAATAATTTCAAAGATTCGGAGATATAGCCCAAAGGAAAAGGCGTTATCGACACATCGATTTATGGGCCTTGTCATTGAAACCCTGAAATGTTATACATGTACATCTAAAGTTTCTGAGATATTTTTTTAAAAAATCTGCTGGTATCTGTAGCGGAATCCTATCGAAATTCAGAATTGCGCATTGGGTTTGGACTCAGGCTATTAATTATTTACCCAGTTAAATCCTTGCCATTCCTTGGACTAGAACATTCCGATGATCTTAATCTTTACGATAACAATATTGGAGGGTGTTGACCATCTCGATTCTTGCTACGCTCTGACGTCGCCATTGCACGCGATTTTTCTAATTTTCCGTTTCTCACTCTCGGATAAGACAGAAAATGTACATGTGCCAGCTTCTCAGTTTGATACAAGACTTGGACTATGACATATGCTAAACGTATGCTGCCTGTCAACAACAAGCTCAGCTTGAGAACAGACACTAAGCTAGTTGACAAACACTTTAATTCCCAAGTCGCCAATTTTAGTCGAAAACACTATCTACTTCGCGTATTTTGAGAAGTATTACTTCTGCTCTCATTTAGTAAAATTGAAAAGGGTGTTTAGTCTTTCTGTGTATAACAGATATGAAAAGAAGTAGAGTCCCAAGTATTGTATTCATTTTTGGATATTGCGGACATTCAGGAAAGAGATCTATTCTCGAAGTCATTCGTGAATTGGACACCAGGATGATGGCATGCTCGCCCATGCAGGAAGGACTCGACAACAACATTGTACAACCATTATCTGTGTCAACCGTAAAATATAAAGTACTAGCAGGATACCGGCTTCGCTCGGGTGTCATAACTCCGAAACCGGAAGTGGTAGACTGACGCCACCTGGCCTATGTTACTCCCCGGTCTGAGCTACCCCTATACCTCAAATTTCAGACTCGGGGCAGACCGAACAGACAGACAGACAGACAGACCACCGACAGACAGACAGACAAACGACAGTCACAAATATATATATAGATAGATAACATTTAGCCAAAGGTCGCCCCTGTTTAAATATAATTAATTTTTTTGCCTCTCTTGAAAAATAATCAAATAAAGAAATTGTCAAATCTCGTTTCAGTTGTAAAAAAATTTAATAAAAAATTGCCTTTAATTGCATATCCGACGAAACATCTCAATGGTCGGTGCAAAATCTTTTCGTCCAATAATTTTGTCTAGCTCAGACTTAAATAGTAATATATTTCTGATTGGTCAGAAATTGAAGAACTTCCTTAAGAGAACAAAAGTAAGCTATTTGATTTTCATAAGGACTTAGTAATAAAAAAAGCGAAGTAATCTATTATCATCTACATGCATTAGTTTGGGAATTCTGTCAAATTATTACCGGAACCAAGACACTTCCTAATCCATGCACGATAATCCATCTTTATTAACATTTCGCAAAGAAAGGCAAATTTGATCGCAATGTCATTTAGTACCTTGGCAAAACGGATGGGTACCGGATCATTGTGAAATGTGAATTGGCTTCCCTTCCTTAGAACAATACAAATTAAAACAAAAAATCTGTTCCGAAAACCCGTATACCGTATCTATAGATCATGATTATTTCTAGTCGAGTGTTGTATATTTTGATTGAAGCGTGTTATTGAGCCATGTGATGACCTTGTGTAGATGACCGAGTTGTAAGTTTGTCAATAATGTGGGAGTTGATGACGTATTATTATAACAATCTTGCGATTTTTAAGGTTCTTGAAATAGATTGTGGCGACCATGTAATTCCGACAATATTTAGTCACGGCTTCACATTTCCTTGGCGTTGCTTTAAATAACGGACAGATCAATGTAACTATATACGGATATTATATTAAAGCTGTATTCCATTGGTAGTATTATTATCATCTATGATGTCAAGTTCTTAAATCCGAGATTTATATTTCAAGTTCCATGGCAATTAAAGTTAGCTTAAAGTACTAATAAACAGCCGATTTATCGTAGTTTGATTCCAGAAAGTTTGTTTTACATTCCCCCGTAAAGCGTCATCGTTCCATCACTTGTAAATGAGCCAATTAGTATTGTCTACATTGAAGTAGAAACTGTATATGGTGAACCGCAGTGGACCTTATACAGACCCTTGTGGCACTTCATATGTGAATTCACATTGTTTTGATCTGACCTTACTCCACCAATAACAGTTTTATTACGCCCATAAGCGGCATTTCTTTTCAGCGAAACTCTAGTACCCTGGGAGTAATATTTTTTATTGTTCCATACGCTGCAAAGAAAGAAAGAAATATAATGCCAATTTGAATGAGAATCACTGCTGCATCATTGTTGACTTTACTTGTATCATTAGGAGACTACAGTAAGGTAATTTGCACATATTCTTTTTCGAATTTCAAATACCAAGGAACCCGCTCATGTTCACTCCCAATTATACACGAGAATTCCATTTTTTGTGCAATCCGAACGACAAGACACACTTTCCTTGTCAGGATAACAGGCGCTACCCATGACAAGTGAGAACCCGTATTAAAAAAAAGCCGAAGAACACGTCATTTATATCATCGGTCATTCCAACGACTCAAAAGTGAAGTGCGTGCACATGAATACCACGCACCTTCGGATATGGTATTTTCTATCACTATATGTATAAGCCAGCTTTAAGATCATGTATAATTCCATTTTACTCTTCAACTTAACATTTTGTCATACTTTACACAATGGCGAAAATATAGCCAGGGGGTACTATAATAGTCTTTATTGATCGGACTTTTCCCCGAGTAACCCCGGTCATTACTAAAATAAGTTGAAAGAACCTAGAAGAGGCTTAAATAATCTGGTTCAAGAAGTAGAAGCACTTAAAGTAATCTGTTTGTACTGGCGATTTATTGGTCTATCACTAAAATGAATCGATGCATAATTCTGAGTTAGGTACCGTTTGTTTAGTTAGAGTTAATTGAGGAGATTTCCTGGTGCGCCACCGAAGTAATGTTATAGAGTCGTAAATATTTCAGTTTATGAACACCTTTTTATAATCCCTTCAATTCATTGTCTGGGTTTTAATGTAAAATGTAATTTATATCCCCACAAGTCATTGCATCTACATACTACATCGCAGACGTTTTAATCATTAATTTTATTTATAGATACCGTTGTCTATCCCAATTTGATTAAGTATCCGGATTTACCCGGTATTCTCTTTTTTTCAGATACAACAAACGCCACTGGAAGTAATATACAATGTAGTAGTACTCAATAATAAGTAAACAAGAAACCTATATAAATAAGCAATACGAAACAAATCATAAATGTACAATGTTCGGGGGTTACAGAAAATAGCGAAACAAAGGAGAAACAATATGATATATTAAATCTCCAATCATAGAAAGTATATAGGTTTCACCCGTCAAATTTCGCAAACACAGGCAAATTTCATCGCAATGTTATTTAGTAGCTTGGCAAAACGGATGGGTGTGAAATGTGAATAAATTGGCTTTCCTTTCTTAGAAAAATACAAATTAAAAAAACCAAATCTGTTCCGAAAACCCGTGTACCGTATCTATAGATTATGATTATTCCTAGTCGAGTGTTGTATATTTTGATTGAAGCGTGTTATTAAGACATGTGAATTGTGATGACCTTGTGTAGATGACCGACTTTTAAGTTTGTCAATGATGTGGGAGAGAGAGAGAGGGATGGTTAACGTCTACTAGGTCATTTCGGGGCTAACACATGGTTCAATTTTATTTCAATAATTTGCTTGCGCGTAGGGGTCTTTAGCAGTGGGACGAAACCGGAGGACCCGGAGAAAATCCACGATGTTGAAGAGGCAATCCTACTCCTTGTCACGTACAACCGGGGAATCGAAACCAAGCCAGTTGACTCACTGACAGAGCTTATGAAACTCGCGCACGGATTGAAAATATGTATATTAATGGTGGTGGAGGTGACGGGTCAGTTAGAGGCCGAAGCCATAGGCCTATGCCCTTTAAAATATATTATGTAAATCCCTAAGATCTAGGAATGGGTAGAATTTGGCACATATCGTATCCTACCTTTCTGGGTTATTGCAAGGAAGGTACGGCACGATAATCAACTACATGGCTTGTGGACCCTCTATATGGCGCTGGAGGTCACAATTATTATTCTATTTTAATAATCGTTCAAATCTATGTTTATTACCAATGGTAGTCTTCAGCTGGTGAGCCCACAAGTAGGAAAATCC